GCTTTGGTCGATGCAGCATGGCGAGTGGAATCGACAAACATGATATCAAATGTCCAGCATTTGATGTGAATATGATGATACTTGAATGTTTAACCGTGGTGTCCGCCTCCATGACCACCACCTCCATGGCCACCTCCGTGACCGCCACCGTGGCCTCCTCCATGACCTCCACCGTGACCTCCTCCATGACCTCCTCCATGGCCGCCACCTCCGTGTCCTCCGCCATGACCTCCTTTGCCGCCACCGTGGCCGCCACCTCCATGGCCACCTCCTCCGTGTCCTTTGCCACCTCCGTGGCCACCTCCTCCGTGTCCTTTGCCACCTCCGTGACCACCTCCATGACCACCTCCGTGACCACCACCATGACCTCCTCCATGGCCGCCGCCTCCATGACCACCACCGTGGCCTCCACCTCCATGACCACCACCACCATGGCCACCAAGGACGGAGCCAAGGAAGACTGTAAAGAATGTGAAGAAAAAACAATGCATAAGTGGTCATAGATGACAGGATGCATACATACAAAATCCGTCTACCAATCCTAATAAATGTTTACATCATGGTAGAAACTATCCTGATCATAACGTTGTCAGTATTATCGTAAAGCCATTTAAAACTCAGCAATAGCTCATAAAGTTGATTATTAGAAAGCTTGGGAATGCGAATTCGCATCAGATAAGGCAAACGTACCCAAGACTACAACAACTGCAACATTAAGAAGGCGCATCCTGCCAGTTACGTTTATCCACTTGAGAATAAACGATTTGAATGTCGCTATTGTGATTCACCACACCTTATATACTTGTGGTTCAGGAAATCAGGATGTTGAATGTAAATGCCCTCATTGGAATATTTTCGAAAAGAAAATTCCAAGCGACTTTTTACACCCTGAGAGCGTGAAGAGTGAATCTTTATTATGTAATATCACATGGGACGGTGTCACCTGCCTCTCTATTTTATGCATATCTTCCTGCATAATTATAAAAATCAAGCTGTGTATTTGTGACCTAACCTGGCACCCAGTGGCTAGCTCACTGCTGGGAAGCACGATAGATTTAACTGTTCATCCAATGCAATTTCAAGCTACAGATGATTAGTGAGAAAAAAAATGAATGGAGAGAGAATTTATAAATGAATGACAAATGTTGAACTCCAGTATTTCGTTGAGTGCATGTATTGAGTCTAGTAGGCTGCCATTACTATGGGTCCAGGAGGTTTATCAACCTATGTCAAATGCGTGTTTTAAAGCAAAATGTTATGGGAAGGTCATTATTCCTTTCTTCATAATGAAACTTGATGTGAAGAGGGAAATGTTCAAGTTTGAGATATATTTTCAAAGTTTGAATTCCTACTTTTATAATCTCAAAGCCACATTATCTTCTATAATAAAACAAACTTCTTCTTTTTCTGTAACTAGCAAATCTTAAATTGCCGTTCAGGTAGCGCAACAATTACCAAAAATATCCAAACTGCTTTAATGAAAACGAACTTCATCTTATTTTCAAAAGAACTGATAATATCAATATTTATCATGATATGAACCCGGAAGTAGACACAGCTTTGTCTTGGCTAAACCGTCCTTAGTAGGCGTATGGATAAAAAACAAACGAGCAGGGTGTAACTGTGAGTTAGTGTTAGAGTGTGTGTCTGCGTTGTGGTCTGGAACTGGGTCTGTGTTTGAGTGTGAAAGTCCGGGCCACATTTAACTTGGTAACTGGCCCAAACCATATTTTTATAGATTGTCGTAAAATCTCAGCTCTCCACATCACATGTGGACAGGATATACTAATCCATCAGACGAATACCTGATGTAACCACTATTTCCCCAGGAACATGTATGCGGTGGTGGTGGTACAACTAACGATCTATGACCCATGTATGACCCCCTTCCAGCCTTACCTGCCCACACTCATCAACAAAACTCCACCACCGGAGTTGAACATTCATCTGGCCTCAAAGCACAATGATTTTCCTTCTTTGCTATCTGCAGTGACATGTCAACCCACATTAATTAATATCGTTCATAGGCTGTTCTTCTGTTGCATGACTAACCTGTCAGTTACAACTTACACCGCAAACTACCAGCCTGGGTCCAGCAGCTCGATTTCCAAATAACCACTGTCAACAATGGTCAGTGGAAGTATCGAGCCTAAACACACAGATCGACCTTTAAACTGGGGGTCAAATCATGGAAAGCTGGAGTCAATATCATGTACTCATTTGGGATCAAAACAAATTATCAAGAAAATACAATGTCGAATCTCATGTCAAGCAAAACATATCTGGCCCAGACTCAACAAACCATCGAACAGAGCACTACGTTCTCCTCTTTACCTTCCGGGTCATGGTAAAACTTAAGGGACGTAACTGTGGTCTGAGGCCATCTGAGAGGGAATCTGCTTCCTTGAAGATTCATATTGCGCTGGATTCTTGAAAAGAACAAACAAATTTGGACTTGTTTTTTTGTGTAGGCTTTTCTAGAAATCTTGTTGTTATATTAGACATCTGCTCTACCTTATAAGGCCTTAATGTTATCATCACCCCATGGGTGCATTGAGTCACACGTGTCACTTTTTTAGTTTGAACATTCGCACGGCTTTAATTATAAAGTAGGTGGGCGTTTAGAGGCCGTAATGACAGTATGATACTAAAAGGGGACTCCGTGCATTTTCGGACAGAAATTGTCCACTTGCTTGGTTCAACATGTTTATAGGTTTACTCATCTGCCTTCGAGCTTCAGGACCTTTGTGGACAATGATTCTAATGTGACAATCACTGTGCAGGACATTGAAAAGTAAGCAGTGGAACTACAATTAACTACTTTTATAACAAACAGGCTTATAACGAACTGACGGATATAAAGTATTGCCCTTAGGTCCCGGGCTTTTGCTACATATATCCTGTATATGTGCTTATAATGAATTACGGTTATAACGAACTAAAATATGTGGTCTCTTTGAGTTTGTTATGACCGTGGTTTACTGTGGCTGATACTATCTTGAATTTGGTTGTACTTGAAGAAAATATAAGCCAAGAGAAAATTACAATATACATGGCAGTTTTATTTGTGCTCGTTGAGGAATATACAGCTTTGGTCGATGCAGCATGGCGAGTGGAATCGACAAACATGATATCAAATGTCCAGCATTTGATGTGAATATGATGATACTTGAATGTTTAACCGTGGTGTCCGCCTCCATGACCACCACCTCCATGGCCACCTCCGTGACCGCCACCGTGGCCTCCTCCATGACCTCCACCGTGACCTCCTCCATGACCTCCTCCATGGCCGCCACCTCCGTGTCCTCCGCCATGACCTCCTTTGCCGCCACCGTGGCCGCCACCTCCATGGCCACCTCCTCCGTGTCCTTTGCCACCTCCGTGGCCACCTCCTCCGTGTCCTTTGCCACCTCCGTGACCACCTCCATGACCACCTCCGTGACCACCACCATGACCTCCTCCATGGCCGCCGCCTCCATGACCACCACCGTGGCCTCCACCTCCATGACCACCACCACCATGGCCACCAAGGACGGAGCCAAGGAAGACTGTAAAGAATGTGAAGAAAAAACAATGCATAAGTGGTCATAGATGACAGGATGCATACATACTAAATCCGTCTACCAATCCTAATAAATGTTTACATCATGGTAGAAACTATCCTGATCATAACGTTGTCAGTATTATCGTAAAGCCATTTAAAACTCAGCAATAGCTCATAAAGTTGATTATTAGAAAGCTTGGGAATGCGAATTCGCATCAGATAAGGCAAACGTACCCAAGACTACAACAACTGCAACATTAAGAAGGCGCATCCTGCCAGTTACGTTTATCCACTTGAGAATAAACGATTTGAATGTCGCTATTGTGATTCACCACACCTTATATACTTGTGGTTCAGGAAATCAGGATGTTGAATGTAAATGCCCTCATTGGAAGATTTCGAAAAGAAAATTCCAAGCGACTTTTTACACCCTGAGAGCGTGAAGAGTGAATCTTTATTATGTAATATCACATGGGACGGTGTCACCTGCCTCTCTATTTTATGCATATCTTCCTGCATAATTATAAAAATCAAGCTGTGTATTTGTGACCTAACCTGGCACCCAGTGGCTAGCTCACTGCTGGGAAGCATGATAGATTTAACTGTTCATCCAATGCAATTTCAAGCTACAGATGATTAGTGAGAAAAAAAATGAATGGAGAGAGAATTTATAAATGAATGACAAATGTTGAACTCCAGTATTTCGTTGAGTGCATGTATTGAGTCTAGTAGGCTACCATTACTATGGGTCCAGGAGGTTTATCAACCTATGTCAAATGCGTGTTTTAAAGCAAAATGTTATGGGAAGGTCATTATTCCTTTCTTCATAATGAAACTTGATGTGAAGAGGGAAATGTTCAAGTTTGAGATATATTTTCAAAGTTTGAATTCCTACTTTTATAATCTCAAAGCCACATTATCTTCTATAATAAAACAAACTTCTTCTTTTTCTGTAACTAGCAAATCTTAAATTGCCGTTCAGGTAGCGCAACAATTACCAAAAATATCCAAACTGCTTTAATGAAAACGAACTTCATCTTATTTTCAAAAGAACTGATAATATCAATATTTATCATGATATGAACCCGGAAGTAGACACAGCTTTGTCTTGGCTAAACCGTCCTTAGTAGGCGTACGGATAAAAAAACAAACGAGCAGGGTGTAACTGTGAGTTAGTGTTAGAGTGTGTGTCTGCGTTTTGGTCTGGAACTGGGTCTGTGTTTGAGTGTGAAAGTCCGGGCCACATTTAACTTGGTAACTGGCCCAAACCATATTTTTATAGATTGTCGTAAAATCTCAGCTCTCCACATCACATGTGGACATGATATACTAATCCATCAGACGAATACCTGATGTAACCACTATTTCCCCAGGAACATGTATGCGGTGGTGGTGGTACAACTAACGATCTATGACCCATGTATGACCCCCTTCCAGCCTTACCTGCCCACACCCATCAACAAAACTCCACCACCGGAGTTGAACATTCATCTGGCCTCAAAGCACAATGATTTTCCTTCTTTGCTATCTGCAGTGACATGTCAACCCACATTAATTAATATCGTTCATAGGCTGTTCTTCTGTTGCATGACTAACCTGTCACTTACAACTTACACCGCAAACTACCAGCCTGGATCCAGCAGCTCGATTTCCAAGTAACCACTGTCAACAATGGTCAGTGGAAGTATCGAGCCTAAACACACAGATCGACCTTTAAACTGGGGGTCAAATCATGGAAAGCTGGAGTCAATATCATGTACTCATTTGGGATCAAAACAAATTATCAAGAAAATACAATGTCGAATCTCATGTCAAGCAAAACATATCTGGCCCAGACTCAACAAACCATTCGAACAGAGCACTACGTTCTCCTCTTTACCTTCCGGGTCATGGTAAAACTTAAGGGACGTAACTGTGGTCTGAGGCCATCTGAGAGGGAATCTGCTTCCTTGAAGATTCATATTGCGCTGGATTCTTGAAAAGAACAAACAAATTTGGACTTGTTTTTTTGTGTGGGCTTTTCTAGAAATCTTGTTGTTTTATTGGACATCTGCTCTACCTTATAAGGCCTTAATGTTATCATCACCCCATGGGTGCATTGAGTCACACGTGTCACTTTTTTAGTTTGACCATTCGCACGGCTGTAATTATAAAGTAGGTGGGCGTTTAGAGGCCGTAATGACAGTATGATACTAAAAGGGGACTCCGTGCATTTTCGGACAGAAATTGTCCACTTGCTTGGTTCAACATGTTTATAGGTTTACTCATCTGCCTTCGAGCTTCAGGACCTTTGTGGACAATGATTCTAATGTGACAATCACTGTGCAGGACATTGAAAAGTAAGCAGTGGAACTACAATTAACTACTTTTATAACAAACACGCTTATAACGAACTGACGGATATAAAGTATTGCCCTTAGGTCCCGGACTTTTGCTACATATATCCTGTATATGTGCTTATAATGAACTACGGTTATAACGAACTAAAATATGTGGTCTCTTTGAGTTCGTTATGACCGTGGTTTACTGTGGCTGATACTATCTTGAATTTGGTTGTACTTGAAGAAAATATAAGCCAAGAGAAAATTACAATATACATGGCAGTTTTATTTGTGCTCGTTGAGGAATATACAGCTTTGGTCGATGCAGCATGGCGAGTGGAATCGACAAACATGATATCAAATGTCCAGCATTTGATGTGAATATGATGATACTTGAATGTTTAACCGTGGTGTCCGCCTCCATGACCACCACCTCCATGGCCACCTCCGTGACCACCACCGTGGCCTCCTCCATGACCTCCACCGTGACCTCCTCCATGACCTCCTCCATGGCCGCCACCTCCGTGTCCTCCGCCATGACCTCCTTTGCCGCCACCGTGGCCGCCACCTCCATGGCCGCCTCCTCCGTGTCCTTTGCCACCTCCGTGGCCACCTCCTCCGTGTCCTTTGCCACCTCCGTGACCACCTCCATGACCACCTCCGTGACCACCACCATGACCTCCTCCATGGCCGCCGCCTCCATGACCACCACCGTGGCCTCCACCTCCATGACCACCACCACCATGGCCACCAAGGACGGAGCCAAGGAAGACTGTAAAGAATGTGAGGAAAAAACAATGCATAAGTGGTCATAGATGACAGGATGCATACATACAAAATCCGTCTACCAATCCTAATAAATGTTTACAACATGGTAGAAACTATCCTGATCATAACGTTGTCAGTATTATCGTAAAGCCATTTAAAACTCAGCAATAGCTCATAAAGTTGATTATTAGAAAGCTTGGGAATGCGAATTCGCATCAGATAAGGCAAACGTACCCAAGACTACAACAACTGCAACATTAAGAAGGCGCATCCTGCCAGTTACGTTTATCCACTTGAGAATAAACGATTTGAATGTCGCTATTGTGATTCACCACACCTTATATACTTGTGGTTCAGGAAATCAGGATGTTGAATGTAAATGCCCTCATTGGAAGATTTTCGAAAAGAAAATTCCAAGCGACTTTTTACACCCTGAGAGCGTGAAGAGTGAATCTTTATTATGTAATATCACATGGGACGGTGTCACCTGCCTCTCTATTTTATGCATATCTTTCTGCATAATTATAAAAATCAAGCTGTTTATTTGTGACCTAACCTGGCACCCAGTGGCTAGCTCACTGCTGGGAAGCATGATAGATTTAACTGTTCATCCAATGCAATTCAAGCTACAGATGATTAGTGAGAAAAAAAATGAATGGAGAGGGAATTTATAAATGAATGACAAATGTTGAACTCCAGTATTTCGTTGAGTGCATGTATTGAGTCTAGTAGGCTACCATTACTATGGGTCCAGGAGGTTTATCAACCTATGTCAAATGCGTGTTTTAAAGCAAAATGTTATGGGAAGGTCATTATTCCTTTCTTCATAATGAAACTTGATGTGAAGAGGGAAATGTTCAAGTTTGAGATATAATTTCAAAGTTTGAATTCCTACTTTTATAATCTCAAAGCCACATTATCTTCTATAATAAAACAAACTTCTTCTTTTCCTGTAACTAGCAAATCTTAAATTGCCGTTCAGGTAGCGCAACAAATACCAAAAATATCCAAACTGCTTTAATGAAAACGAACTTCATCTTATTTTCAAAAGAACTGATAATATCAATATTTATCATGATATGAACCCGGAAGTAGACAAAGCTTTGTCTTGGCTACACCGTCCTCAGTAGGCGTAGGGATAAAAAACAAACGAGCAGGGTGTAACTGTGAGTTAGTGTTAGTGTGTGTGTCTGCGTTTTGGTCTGGAACTGGGTCTGTGTTTGAGTGTGAAAGTCCGGGCCACATTTAACTTGGTAACTGGCCCAAACCATATTTTTATAGATTGTCGTAAAATCTCAACTCTCCACATCACATGTGGACATGATATACTAATCCATCAGACGAATACCTGATGTAACCACTATTTCCCCAGGAACATGTATGCGGTGGTGGTGGTACAACTCACGATCTATGACCCATGTATGACCCCCTTCCAGCCTTACCTGCCCACACCCACCAAAAAAAACTCCACCACCGGAGTTGAACATTCATCTGGCCTCAAAGCACAATGATTTTCCTTCTTTGCTATCTGCAGTGACATGTCAACCCACATTAATTAATATCGTTCATAGGCTGTTCTTCTGTTGGATGACTAACCTGTCACTTATAACTTACACCGCAAACTACCAGCCTGGATCCAGCAGCTCGATTTCCAAATAACCACTGTCAACAATGGTCAGTGGAAGTATCGAGCCTAAACACACAGATCGACCTTTAAACTGGGGGTCAAATCATGGAAAGCTGGAGTCAATATAATGTACTCATTTGGGATCAAAACAAATTATCAAGAAAATACAATGTCGAATCTCATGTCAAGCAAAACATATCTGGCCCAGACTCAACAAACCATTCGAACAGAGCACTACATTCTCCTCTTTACCTTCCGGATCATGGTAAAACTTAAGGGACGTAACTGTGGTCTGAGGCCATCTGAGAGGGAATCTGCTTCCTTGAAGATTCATATTGCGCTGGATTCTTGAAAAGAACAAACAAATTTGGACTTGTTTTTTTGTGCGGGCTTTTCTAGAAATCTTGTTGTTTTATTGGACATCTGCTCTACCTTATAAGGCCTTAATGTTATCATCACCCCATGGGTGCATTGAGTCACACGTGTCACTTTTTTAGTTTGACCATTCGCACGGCTGTAATTATAAAGTAGGTTGGCGTTTAGAGGCCGTAATGACAGTATGATACTAAAAGGGGACTCCGTGCATTTTCGGACAGAAATTGTCCACTTGCTTGGTTCAACATGTTTATAGGTTTTCTCATCTGCCTTCGAGCTTCAGGACCTTTGTGGACAATGATTCTAATGTGACAATCACTGTGCAGGACATTGAAAAGTAAGCAGTGGAACTACAATGAACTACTTTTATAACAAACACGCTTATAACGAACTGACGGATTTAATATATTGACCTTAGGTCCCGGGCTTTTGCTACATATATCCTGTATATGTGCTTATAATGAACTACGGTTATAACGAACTAAAATATGTGGTCTCTTTGAGTTCGTTATGACCGTGGTTTACTGTGGCTGATACTATCTTGAATTTGGTTGTACTTGAAGAAAATATAAGCCAAGAGAAAATTACAATATACATGGCAGTTTTATTTGTGCTCGTTGAGGAATATACAGCTTTGGTCGATGCAGCATGGCGAGTTGAATCGACAAACATGATATCAAAATTCCAACATTTGATGTGAATATGATGATACTTGAATGTTTTAACCGTGGTGTCCGCCTCCATGACCACCACCTCCATGGCCACCTCCGTGACCGCCACCGTGGCCTCCTCCATGACCTCCACCGTGACCTCCTCCATGACCTCCTCCATGGCCGCCACCTCCGTGTCCTCCGCCATGACCTCCTTTGCCGCCACCGTGGCCGCCACCTCCATGGCCACCTCCTCCGTGTCCTTTGCCACCTCCGTGGCCACCTCCTCCGTGTCCTTTGCCACCTCCGTGACCACCTCCATGACCACCTCCGTGACCACCACCATGACCTCCTCCATGGCCGCCGCCTCCATGACCACCACCGTGGCCTCCACCTCCATGACCACCACCACCATGGCCACCAAGGACGGAGCCAAGGAAGACTGTAAAGAATGTGAAGAAAAAACAATGCATAAGTGGTCATAGATGACAGGATGCATACATACAAAATCCGTCTACCAATCCTAATAAATGTTTACATCATGGTAGAAACTATCCTGATCATAACGTTGTCAGTATTTTCGTAAAGCCATTTAAAACTCAGCAATAGCTCATAAAGTTGATTATTAGAAAGCTTGGGAATGCGAATTCGCATCAGATAAGGCAAACGTACCCAAGACTACAACAACTGCAACATTAAGAAGGCGCATCCTGCCAGTTACGTTTATCCACTTGAGAATAAACGATTTGAATGTCGCTATTGTGATTCACCACACCTTATATACTTGTGGTTCAGGAAATCAGGATGTTGAATGTAAATGCCCTCATTGGAAGATTTTCGAAAAGAAAATTCCAAGCGACTTTTTAAACCCTCAGACCGTGAAGAATTAATCTTTATTATGTAATATCACATGGGACGGTGTCACCTGCCTCTCTATTTTATGCATATCTTCCTGCATAATTATAAAAATCAAGCTGTGTATTTGTGACCTAACCTGGCACCCAGTGGCTAGCTCACTGCTGGGAAGCATGATAGATTTAACTGTTCATCCAATGCAATTTCAAACTACAGATGATTAGTGAGAAAAAAAATGAATGGAGAGAGAATTTATAAATGAATGACAAATGTTGAACTCCAGTATTTCGTTGAGTGCATGTATTGAGTCTAGTAGGCTACCATTACTATGGGTCCAGAAGGTTTATCAACCTATGTCAAATGCGTGTTTTAAAGCAAAATGTTATGGGAAGGTCATTATTCCTTTCTTCATAATGAAACTTGATGTGAAGAGGGAAATGTTCAAGTTTGAGATATATTTTCAAAGTTTGAATTCCTACTTTTATAATCTCAAAGCCACATTATCTTCTATAATAAAACAAACTTCTTCTTTTTCTGTAACTAGCAAATCTTAAATTGCCGTTCAGGTAGCGCAACAATTACCAAAAATATCCAAACTGCTTTAATGAAAACGAACTTCATCTTATTTTCAAAAGAACTGATAATATTAATATTTATCATGATATGAACCCGGAAGTAGACACAGCTTTGTCTTGGCTACACCGTCCTTAGTAGGCGTAGGGATAAAAAACAAACGAGCAGGGTGTAACTGTGAGTTAGTGTTAGAGTGTGTGTCTGCGTTTTGGTCTGGAACTGGGTCTGTGTTTGAGTGTGAAAGTCCGGGCCACATTTAACTTGGTAACTGGCCCAGACCATATTTTTATAGATTGTCGTAAAATCTCAGCTCTCCACATCACATGTGGACATGATATACTAATCCATCAGACGAATACCTGATGTAACCACTATTTCCGCAGGAACATGTATGCGGTGGTGGTGGTACAACTAACGATCTATGACCCATGTATGACCCCCTTCCAGCCTTACCTGCCCACACCCACCAACAAAACTCCACCACCGGAGTTGAACATTCATCTGGCCTCAAAGCACAATGATTTTCCTTCTTTGCTATCTGCAGTGACATGTCAACCCACATTAATTAATATCGTTCATAGGCTGTTCTCCCGTTGCATGACTAACCTGTCACTTATAACTTACACCGCAAACTACCAGCCTGGGTCCAGCAGCTCGATTTCCAAGTAACCACTGTCAACAATGGTCAGTGGAAGTATCGAGCCTAAACACACAGATCGACCTTTAAACTGGGGGTCAAATCATGGAAAGCTGGAGTCAATATCATGTACTCATTTGGGATCAAAACAAATTATCAAGAAAATACAATGTCGAATCTCATGTCAAGCAAAACATATCTGGCCCAGACTCAACAAACCATTCGAACAGAGCACTACATTCTCCTCTTTACCTTCCGGATCATGGTAAAACTTAAGGGACGTAACTGTGGTCTGAGGCCATCTGAGAGGGAATCTGCTTCCTTGAAGATTCATATTGCGCTGGATTCTTGAAAAGAACAAACAGATTTGGACTTGTTTTTGTGTGTGGGCTTTTCTAGAAATCTTGTTGTATTATTGGACATCTGCTCTACCTTATACGGCCTTAATGTTATCATCACCCCATGGGTGCATTGAGTCACATGTGTCACCTTTTTAGTTTGAATATTCGCACGGCTGTAATCATAAAGTAGGTTGGCGTTTAGAGGCCGTAATGACAGTATAATACTAAAAGGGGACTCCGTGCATTTTCGGACAGAAGTTGTCCACTTGCTTGGTTCAACATGTTTATAGGTTTACTCATCTGCCTTCGAGCTTCCGGACCTTTGTGGACAATGCTTCTAATGTGACAAACACTGTGCAGGACATTGAAAAGTAAGCAGTGGAACTACAGTAAACTACTTTTATAACGAACACGCTTATAACGAACTGACGGATATAAAGTATTGCCCTTAGGTCCCGGGCATTTGCTACATATATCCTGTATATGTGCTTATAATGAACTACGGTTATAACGAACTAAAATATGTGGTCTCTTTGAGTTCGTTATGACCGTGGTTTACTGTGGCTGATACTATCTTGAATTTGGTTGTACTTGAAGAAAATATAAGCCAAGAGAAAATTACAATATACATGGCAGTTTTATTTGTGCTCGTTGAGGAATATACAGCTTTGGTCGATGCAGCATGGCGAGTGGAATCGACAAACATGAAATTAAATGTCCAGCATTTGATGTGAATATGATGATACTTGAATGTTTTAACCGTGGTGTCCGCCTCCATGACCACCACCTCCATGGCCACCTCCGTGACCGCCACCGTGGCCTCCTCCATGACCTCCACCGTGACCTCCTCCATGACCTCCTCCATGACCTCCTCCATGGCCGCCACCTCCGTGTCCTCCGCCATGACCTCCTTTGCCGCCACCGTGGCCGCCACCTCCATGGCCACCTCCTCCGTGTCCTTTGCCACCTCCGTGGCCACCTCCTCCGTGTCCTTTGCCACCTCCGTGACCACCTCCATGACCACCTCCGTGACCACCACCATGACCTCCTCCATGGCCGCCGCCTCCATGACCACTACCGTGGCCTCCACCTCCATGACCACCACCACCATGGCCACCAAGGACGGAGCCAAGGCAGACTGTAAAGAACGTGAAGAAAAAACAATGCATAAGTGGTCATAGATGACAGGATGCATACATACAAAATCCGTCTACCAATCCTAATAAATGTTTACATCATGGTAGAAACTATCCTGATCATAACGTTGTCAGAATTATCATAAAGCCATTTAAAACTCAGCAATGGCTCATAAAGTTGATTATTAGAAAGCTTGGGAATGCGAGTTCGCATCAGATAAGGCAAACGTACCCAAGACTACAACAACTGCAACATTAAGAAGGCGCATCCTGCCAGTTACGTTTATCCACTTGAGAATAAACGATTTGAATGTCGCTATTGTGATTCACCACACCTTATATACTTGTGGTTCAGGAAATCAGGATGTTGAATGTAAATGCCCTCATTGGAAGATTTTCGAAAAGAAAATTCCAAGCGACTTTTTACACCCTGAGAGCGTGAAGAGTGAATCTTTATTATGTAATATCACATGGGACGGTGTCACCTGCCTCTCTATTTTATGCATATCTTCCTGCATAATTATAAAAATCAAGCTGTGTATTTGTGACCTAACCTGGCACCCAGTGGCTAGCTCACTGCTGGGAAGCATGATAGATTTAACTGTTCATCCAATGCAATTTCAAGCTACAGATGATTAGTGAGAAAAAAAATGAATGGAGAGAGAATTTATAAATGAATGACAAATGTTGAACTCCAGTATTTCGTTGAGTGCATGTATTGAGTCTAGTAGGCTGCCATTACTATGGGTCCAGGAGGTTTATCAACCTATGTCAAATGCGTGTTTTAAAGCAAAATGTTATGGGAAGGTCATTATTCCTTTCTTCATAATGAAACTTGATGTGAAGAGGGAAATGTTCAAGTTCAGATATATTTTCAAAGTTTGAATTCCTACTTTTATAATCTCAAAGCCACATTATCTTCTATAATAAAACAAACTTCTTCTTTTTCTGTAACTAGCAAATCTTAAATTGCCGTTCAGGTAGTGCAACAATTACCAAAAATATCCAAACTGCTTTAATGAAAACGAACTTCATCTTATTTTCAAAAGAACTGATAATATCAATATTTATCATGATATGAACCCGGAAGTTGACACAGCTTTGTCTTGGCTACACCGTCCTTAGTAGGCGTAGGGATAAAAAACAAACGAGCAGGGTGTAACTGTGAGTTAGTGTTAGTGTGTGTGTCTGCGTTTTGGTCTGGAACTGGGTCTGTGTTTGAGTGTGAAAGTCCGGGCCACATTTAACTTGGTAACTGGCCCAAACCATATTTTAATAGATTGTCGTAAAATCTCAGCTCTCCACATCACACGTGGACATGATATACTAATCCATCAGACGAATACCTGATGTAACCACTATTTCCGCAGGAACATGTATGCCGTGGTCGTGGTACAACTAACGATCTATGTCCCATGTATGACCCCCTTCCAGCCTTACCTGCCCACACCCACCAACAAAACTCCACCACCGGAGTTGAACATTCATCTGGCCTCAAAGCACAATGATTTTCCTTCTTTGCTATCTGCAGTGACATGTCAACCCACATTAATTAATATCGTTCATACGCTGTTCTCCTGTTGCATGACTAACCTGTCACTTATAACTTACACCGCAAACTACCAGCCTGGATCCAGCAGCTCGATTTTCAAGTAACCACTGTCAACAATGGTCAGTGGAAGTATCGAGCCTAAACACACAGATCGACCTTTAAACTGGGGGTCAAATCATGGAAAGCTGGAGTCAATATCATGTACTCATTTGGGATCAAAACAAATTATCAAGAAAATACAATGTCGAATCTCATGTCAAGCAAAACATATCTGGCCCAGACTCAACAAACCATTCGAACAGAGCACTACATTCTCCTCTTTACCTTCCGGATCATGGTAAAACTTAAGGGACGTAACTGTGGTCTGAGGCCATCTGAGAGGGAATCTGCTTCCTTGAAGATTCATATTGCGCTGGATTCTTGAAAAGAACAAACAGATTTGGACTTGTTTTTGTGTGTGGGCTTTTCTAGAAATCTTGTTGTTTTATTGGACATCTGCTCTACCTTATACGGCCTTAATGTTATCATCACCCCATGGGTGCATTGAGTCACACGTGTCACCTTTTTAGTTTGAATATTCGCACGGCTGTAATCATAAAGTAGGTTGGCGTTTAGAGGCCGTAATGACAGTATGATACTAAAAGGGGACTCCGTGCATTTTCGGACAGAAATTGTCCACTTGCTTGGTTCAACATGTTTATAGGTTTTCTCATCTGCCTTCGAGCTTCCGGGCCTTTGTGGACAATGATTCTAATGTGACAATCACTCTGCAGGACATTGAAAGGTAAGCAGTGGAACTACAGTAAGCTATTGGATTCTTGAAACGAAGAAACAGATTTGGACTTTTTTTTGTGTGGGCTTTTCTAGAAAGCCTGTTGTATTATTAAAGATCTCCTCTACCGTATAAGTCCTTAATGTTATCATCATAAGATAGAGAGATCGAGTGAGAGAGAATAATATAGTGTAAAATCGTTATAGCAGATTAGGGAAGATAGATACTAGTTACTGTACTTTATCGGAGTCAGTATATCGAGCGCTCACTGCGTTATCAGCTGATCAAGGTTCATACCTCAAACACAGCTGGCAAACATCCCTCTGTCATTTTCACGTAAACATGCTCCGTATCCCAGCTTCTCTACTACTTGTTGTGTTCCTGAGGTGAGTTCGTCCGCTGGGCTTGAACGTTGGGCAGTTTGGTGCGGAAGAAAACTCCAAACTCTTTCTCTCTCTCTCTCTCTCTCTCTCTCTCTCTCTCTCTCTCTCTCTCTCTCTCTCTCTCTCTCTCTCTCTCTCACACACACACACACACACATACACTTTAATTATGGACGATTTGTATCGAAGTGTAACAATATCGTATCGCACAATGCCGGGGTGCTTCGTTGAATCATCAATTCCTTGGTCAACATGTTCCCGTTTAGTTTTTTTGATACTATTAATTGTACTTGTATTCTTTTCAGTCACCAATGTCATGGCGTCAGGGATGAGAAAACAGACTCATTCAGGTAGGACTCGCTATACACGTTCTGACTCAACGTGACTTCTGTTGACGTGTTCTGTCTACCTATAATGAATGAGTGTGTAGGTTTGAACAGTGTGTCAACTTGATATTGGAGGAACGCCCTAAACGATGCCGATTTTAGACGGTTTGTCTAGATATGGCAAAATACCACTATGATATTTATCACGAAAGGGTGTGAGTGAGTGAATATGGTTTTACGCCGCTTTAGCAATATTCCAGCAAAATCACGACACCATATTGTACTTATGTGGGACACCCACCTTGGACGTCGGCGTTACGATAATAAGGAGTGAGTGAGTATGGTCTTACGCTGCTTTCAGCAAAATGTTAGCAATATCGGAGGTTAGACATCGCAACCCAAATACACACCCTTGACTAGCATTGGGGGTGATGTAAACTTCATATACTTATCGAGATATCGCCATGGTCGACTCGATGATGAGTTTGACAGCCGCCATGTTGTCTTTCAACGTCTGCTTTGTCACGTGATCATCGAATGGCGAGGAAAATTTAGTATTGGCTGAATACATCTCGTGTCGACACGTCCCCAAAGATTCATTTGTTGATAATAATATTATATGCACAACAGTAAATATTATTTGGTAATTGTGTCATCTGATCCGTTACTGATATACATAAGACTATGTCTCGGGGTGGTAGAAGTGTGACTTCAAGCTTGAACCTGACAGTGGTATGTGACTTTAACGCTGTTTTTAACACTAGTTGGGTAAAGGAGCCAACATAACAAGGTCGAACGGTTGGCTCGTAGGGAGTTACAGTTGGAACTGTTCCTCAGTGGCCTTTGCTTGTCCTTAGAGTCAATACCGCCTCCGTGGTCTAGTGGTAGAGCGTCCGCCCGGAGAGCGGAAGGTCCGGGGTTCGATCCCCGGGCGCGTCATACCAAAAGACGTTAAAAGATGGTACTTGTTGTTACCCTGTCTGACGCTCGGCATTAAGGGGCTAAAACAAGGACTGGTCGGCTCGGAGTCAGTATACTGTGTCTGAGTGGGGTATTCATGTTAAACTGCGGCATGGTATCTCAGTGTGCTAGCACTATAAATCGGCATCAGTCCGGACTAGTACAAGCAGCCACACAAACACACACACGTACATGCACGTCGCAATATAAGTGGACGCGACGTTAAACCCAATTTCACCTCACCTCACCTTACCTTAGAGTCAAATAAAATGGACCGACGGGTCATGTTCTGGTACTTGTTTATTTGTTTGCGTGTCATCGGGCGCTACTGGAGTGGATCATTCCGGACTAGTACAAGCAGCCACACAAACACACACACGTACATGCACGTCGCAATATAAGTGGACGCGACGTCAAACCCAATTTCACCTCACCTCACCTTACCTTAGAGTCAAATAAAATGGACCGACGGGTCATGTTCTGGTACTTGTTTATTTGTTTGCGTGTCATCGGGCGCTACTGGAGTGGATCATTGTTCATAGTTTGAGTCATTGGAATATTACTGACTGCAAACTTACACGACGTTACTTTCCCCATGCCGGGACTGGACTCCTTTTCCTTAAATTTTTATTCTTCCAGTGATTGGGTGAAGGAACACGGGAAGGTGTACCCGTCATGGCAGGACGCTGTCTACAGAGAGAAGGTCTACCATCAGAACCTGCTGGAGATTGAAGACCTCAATCAGAAACACAGGTCGGAGTTAGTAACCAGAAGCTGTGTCTTGTGATAACTGATAATTGCTTATAGTTCATTTACTGAAACACTTTGAAAAACGCATATACGAATGTTTGTTTGATTTGGCAAAATGGCCACAAAAATAATATAAGTTGTACACACACACACACACACACACACACACACACACACACACACACACACATACACACACACACAGAGGTTATCTTGTGCACAGGTTTATGTTTTAAAACTTACCATTAACTCAAATGTATTCAGCTTTCGTACTACTGTGTAGGGGGCGCTTTGGTGGCCAAGTGGCTAAAGCGTTCGCTCGTCACTCCGAAGACCCGTGTTCGATTCCCCGAAAGGGTAAAATGTGCGAAGTCGATATCTGGTGCCCCCGCCGTGATATTGCTGGAATATTGCTAAAAGCGACATAAAAAAACATACTTACTCTCTCATTCACTTCTTTTTTTCTTCTTTTTTTTGACATCATTTATTCATGTTAATTATCAACGATTTTACATGGCCCTGCACATTGCCACGTGGACTGGCATACCAGGGTTTATATTTGGGTTTGAGTTGCTTAGAGCAATAATACTCATCTAATTATTCAGTACACATTTAATTTTTTCTGCAAGATAAACATTGTTATACTGTAGTACTTTGTATTGTATTTCTAGTTCTCTTTTAAATATTCTAAAAAGGCAGTCGGTTTCAGTTACTTTACATCTGTACACAATATACTTTGCTAGCAGTAGTAAATAATTCATCAAAGTACACTCCTCTGTGCTCTCATTCACTTCTATGTAAACTTGTGACCTCTCCTTTTCCTGGGGCGGTCGAGTAGCCTAGTGATTAAATCGTTCGCTCGTCACGTCGAAGACCCGGGTTCGAATCCCGACATTTTTACAATGTGTGAAGCCCATTTCTGGTGTCCCCCGCCGTGATATTGCTGGAATATTGCTAAAAGCGGCGTAAAACCAAACTCACTAACTAACTCACTCACTGACTCTCCTTTTCCTAAATGTTGCTTCGAGCTTTTGAAACGCTGTAGTGATATCGCCAGTAGTGCTGACTGTGGAGTCAACTCATTGTTTTTATGTTACTATGTTTCAGGGGTCGGACTGAGTTCAGAGCTAACCAGTTCGCTGACCTCACCCCGCAGGAGTTCCAAGAGACAGTTCTGATGCCCAGACGCTCTGGGGTGGACTTCCCGCAAGACAGGTAAATATGGATTCGTTTAGCCTGAGTTCCAGTCACAATAGCAATTCCCCGGATAAGGAGCATGTTTGAGTCAAATAACTACACTCCGAGGGCACCATACCAATGTGTAAACCGCCTGCCTGAGACGCCGCGATAACACCTGAAAGATGTTCACTCACTCACTCTGAATGAATTTCAGTAAAACAGAGCAAGAAGCAACGACGTCTTAGATTACATCAATTCACTCACTCACTCTTAGGCATATGTAAAACATCATGGTAGGTCACGGGTGGACCAGTCCAGACCAGTGAGGTAGCCGTGGCAGAAACCTATACGGTCGAGGACTCGAATCCATGGTCGCCCTGATTATGTTTCTCGGTTTGTCAGAACCATATCCGTGCGCGTGGGTTTCACCAAAGTGTTTAACGTCTTGGAACGGTCTGGAAACTTCGGGCTTTCCTCCCACATTAAGCACACTCGCTGTGATATACCCGGTAAACTGTTTAAAGCGGCGTTAAACCCAACTCACCCACTCATTCGACTGACCGGGTTAACAAACCTTGTCGCACACAATTAACACGTTTCATAGGACTGCAAATGTGCCCGAACCAGTGTTTTCAGAGCAAAGACGAGCGTAGCACCCAAACAAAACATTGCTTTCCGACAGTCGTAGTGCTAAGGTCGCTTTGTACAGCTGGGCCCTGGATTTGATAGTCACTGCACCTCTACTTGCAGCTATCTCGATATTGGTCACGTCGACTCTCTCCCAGACTCGTTTGATTGGACAACACAAGGCAAAGTGACGTCAGTCAAGGATCAAGGTAGCTAGAACAACGAAACCTACATGTCAGCACGGTCACCACAGACCAACGAGAGAAATTATGTCACTCTATCTGTTATACATATGATCGCGCCATGGCATAATGATCACAAATGGTTTGTGTGCCGTTTTCCATCATGTTCCATGGGTGACCCAGTCGTCTAAGGCGCTATGATTCGCTGTGCAGAGTTGCGTCCCTTGGGCGCGACAGAAACCTATGATTGTGGGTTCGAATCCCGGTTCGCCCTGATTATGTTTCTAGGTTTGTCAGCACCATACCTGTGCTCGTGGGTTTCCTCGAAGTGGTAAACGTCTGAGACCGGCATCACTTCGGTCTTTCCTCCCACATTAAGCTTACACGCAGCGATATAAGTGTAATACTGTTAAAAGCGGCTTCAAACCCAACTCGCTCACTCACTCACTGTCGTGCATCGTCGTACTCGAGCGGTGTGATTCTTACACTCTTGGGCATTTCAAATATTTTCAAGCTCGATACCGATTTCAACCTCACAATAAATTCCTCTATAACAAGTGTAAGATATTTTACAACCCAATTATTCCGACAATTGTAACATATGATTAATGGGATTTGACAATCGATTTCTTACTATGCATTTCTCCATTGTCCAGGTTCCGTGGGTACCTGCTGGGCTTTCAGGTATGTCAAACATTTGAATCCTGTTGTACCAAACTCATGTTGACCAATAAATAGTTCGATTTATCCGGGGTTCGATACATCCTGTTTTTAATGAGACTGTAGAATTAACACATTCAGTCCGTGCTTGTTTATACGATCACTGGTTCCCGTCTCTTTCCCTCTCCAGCACTGTGGGGAACATCGAGGGGCAGTGGGCCATGCAGGGGAAGCCCCTCACCAACCTGTCCGTCGAGCAGATCGTGGACTGTGACGGCACCATGGACCAAGAGCAGTAGGAACTCACTCCATCTACTTCAATACAGTTGATGTCTTGATCCTGAAACATATGGTTGACCTTGCTGTTTGTCTTACTGACCCTTTAACTGTATGTAAGGACCGCCTCCGTGGTCCAGTGGATCAAGTGTCTACCTGTAGAGAAGGTCGGTGGTTCGATCCATGTCAAAAGACGTTAAAAGGCGCAAGAGGCGTCTAACGGGATCGGGTGGTCAGGCTCGCTGACTTGGTTAATGCATGTCATCGTATTCCAATTGCATGGATCGAAGCTCATGATGTCAGTCACTGGATTGTCTGGTCCAGACTCGATTATTTGCAGACCGCCGTCATACAGCTGAAACATTGCTGAGTGCGGAGTTTAACACCAAACAAACAATAAGTGAATGCATGTCGCTATCCAAGTGAAATAATCTTGAACGCGACAGTGAAGCCCCATCAACTTCTCCATAAACTTTGTACAAAGAGATCTTAAAGCTAAGGTGATCGTAACTCCAATACCCTAACATAGGCCTACGACTGTCGTAGCGCTAAGGTTGTTTTGTACAACGGCACCCAGGACCATGTTTCTCAATGCCATCATCTAAGTTTGCTTTGAAGGACAGCTCAGTGTCCACTCTTTCATTGGTATTGGGTACTGTGTGTGTTGTTTCAGTGTATTTAGCGATGGTGATTGGCAATGTCTCCTATGTTGACAGGAAGAAAGCGGACTGTGGAGTGTTCGGTGGATGGCCATATTTGGCCTACCAATACATCCAGAGTGTGGTAGGTAGACCCACAGTGAGACAATGTGTATGAAATCTATAGAACAAGTGAGGAATGTTTCACAGTCATACACTATTTGCCTGTTGGTTGCCCGATGGTTGCCCGACTTCATATCACAGGCGGTTAGGATACTGCTAACTACAGGGCGCTGACTGTAGGCTGAGTTCTCTGATTAGAGACCGCCGTCATATAGTGGTGCTGAGAGTATGTTGGTATGAATAGTAAATCAAGTCAAACACCGTTGTGTGAGGGGCACGCCAGAAACCCACGCCAGAATCACGGTTCGCCACGATGTTTCTAGGTTTGTCAGCACCATACCCGTGTTCTTGGGTTTCACCGAAGTGGTAAACGTCTGAGACATGCATCACTCCGGACTTTCCTCCCACATTAAGCTGACACAACGTGATATAACTGGAATACTGTTAAAAGCGGCGTTAAACCCAACTCACTCATTCACTCACTTAAACATGTGTAAATGTCTCATCGATTACCATCAACGTCCAGGGCGGCCTGGAGACGTGGTCCAACTACAGCTACTGTTCGGGGATCGGAGGGGGGCCGGGCTCCTGCTTCCCCTGCAAGGCCCCGGGGTACAACAAGACGTACTGCGGACCCCCAGTCCCTTGGTGTTTGAAGAATGAGAGTTGTGCCGCGAAGATCAACCCGCAGAGATTTGTGCCTGACTTGAAGGTCACTGGCTGGAAGGCTGTCAGCAAGGTAGGAGCGGGAGGCTTAAAATAAACTACTTAAAGAAGGCAAGAACACGCCATGACAGATTAACCAGTGTAAGAAAGAAATGAGTGTTCACAAACTTCTTTTGAGTAGTATATATTGTATATACTCTCGCGGTCAGTAAGGCATTCTATAAGGGAAGTGTCGCCCCCACACAGCCATCCCTATCCCCAACGCCCCACAAATAATGAATAATTACTAAAAGGGGGCATCGCGATTATGCGGCATTTTTGACAAATTCTCTCACATTTTAAAGGCGTTTGTACACATTTTGGACAGGACAACAACGCGGCATCATTTGCCTGACATCACGACAGTGTTCCACAAGGCTACCCAACCGCCCCAAGGCCATAAGAAGAATTTACTCCTTTTATCAATACACATGAACGTTGAAATATAACCTCGTCTTTGGATGTCGTCTTTTGAAAAAAGAAGTACAATCCCTTGGGGTGGAACATGGTCTTTTTAAGCAGCTTTGGCGGCGTTGAGTAGGTGGATGGGTGACCAGGCAGCTCCTGACAGTTTCTAGGGCTTCGGTCTAGTGACTATGTTCGAAGTATGCCTCTGTTCACCCAGGAGTGAATGGGTACCCGGTAGGATAAATAAAGAGGTCGACATGTGTGCACGATAGTTAGGGGGTAGTTCTGAAAACTTAATGGATCACTTCAAGCGATTTTTAGGTCAGAGATGGTCGCAATGCAGATGTTTGCTTCAAGTGGTTCTCGTGCTTTTCCATTGGATCCAATAATATACAAGGCTTTAGAATTCTCAAATTTAAATGTACCAATCATTACACCACGAACCCATGGGGGATCTGGTTTAGAGTAGTTCCCAAGCAACCCATGCGATTAAATGGATCGGTGATTTGCTTGATGGTTTGGTGGATTGGGTGCCATCTTACCCGAAAACGTGGAACCATTCTAACTATATCAAAACTGGGTCCGTTTCATAAGGCGACCTTCTTGCTACGATTATCGCTAGTCTAAATCATAGCATGAGAGTCATATATCTGGATTATTGCTGAGTTTGGCTTCAAGCAAGAAACAAAAACAAAATTATCATGAAAATATTTGTTTTCACGAGCGGTGCAGAGAAGCACCATGGGGCACTTCAACAAAGCGGTCTCAGTACTGTAACTCAAGTTGTCAAAAGTTTATGTTAAATTATATTAGTTACGATCGTCCTTGCGCTAAGATCGCTTTTTGGAACAGGTCCTGGACGATACAAGACAAAGACGACCGAACAACATACAAAACACCACCTTTATTTTGGGGGCTCACATTTTCCACCTGTCTGTCATCTGTGCCACAATGTCTTATTGTAACTTTAAGGGTTAATAAGACTACCTTGTTCTTCCAAGTCGACCAACGTGAAATGAAAAAAACACACGTAGGTTTGTATTTAGGCCCGCTTTATAAAGCAAACGTAAGCCCAGTCGTTTAAGGCACCGCAATGTGCTGTGCAGAATTGCGTCCTTTTCATCATGGTTTCGAAACCTGGTTCTCCCTGATTATGTTTCCCCGACATTAAGCTGACACGTGATATAACTGGAGTACTGTTTAATGCGGTGTCAAACCCAACTCACACACCCACTCGAAGTTCGACCGGCTCTGAAGTAGTTACGTCATCCAAGGATGTTCCACTGTTAGTTTGACGTAGCTTGGTAGTGGTCGATTTTGTTCCGCGATTTTGATTGGACCATGCATAAACTTGCTAGTCCAGGCTAAATGTAACTCCATAATTCCAGCCAAGCTCGGCAAGGGTAGAAATTGGATTTTTATGGTCAATTATCTCCCTTGCCTTGGGAAGATGATGACGATGATAATACACTGTATCGTCGAGGATGGGTAGTTATGGGTCTTATTACTACATTCAGAACGAGACCGAGATGGCGGCCTCTCTGGTGAAGTATGGACCTCTGTCTGTAGCCATGGACGCCAGCCGTCTCCAGTTTTACCACCGCGGGGTGTATAACCCCATCGACTGCAGCAAGACCGCTCTCGACCACGGTCAGTCTCTATGTGTGTGCGTGTGCGTGCGTGCGTGCGTGCGTGCGTGCGTGCGTTTGTGTGTGTGTGTGTGAGGGAGGAGGAGAGAGTCTGTGCGTGTGTGTGAGTTTGTGAGTGCGTGTGAATGTGTGTTTGCGTATGTTTGTGTGTGCATGAATATCTGTTATATCACTGATATGTTAATGCGGTGGTTGTACATGTGAGGTGAGGTTACAATGGGGTTTACCGTCGCGCTCAAGATTATTTCACTCAATCTGCGACGTCCGTGCACGTGTTTGAGTGGCTGCTTGTATTAGTCGTTTATAGTGCTTTCCCACTGAAATACCATGCCGCACCTTAACACGGATACCCAAATCTAACACAGAAAGCTGACTCCGAGCCGACGAGTCCTTGTTTTAGCCCCTTAATGCCGAGCGCCAGACAGAGTTACACCAAGTACCATCTTTAAACGTCTTTTGGTATGACACGGCCAGGGTATCGAACCACCAACCTTCCAGTCTCCGTAAAGACTATCCACTCTCCGGAGGCCGTTTTGTGCTTGAGATATACGTTGTCGACCCAATCAGGGTCTCTGTGTCAAGAGGTTGCTTCAGGAGAACCTTCCATCAGGAAATGAGCTTCGAGGCACGAATGAGCATTTAGACCAGCACATCCGATATCTCTATTTCAAAAAAGAGAAGTAAAACCGACAAGTTCCGATTGTAGAAAAATAAGGCCACTTTATAATATTGCATTTTATTCATTCTGTCGTTGCTGAACACCGTTGCCGTCGGGCGGCGAAGGTCGCTCAGAATTCTCCTGACGCGGCCTTCTGTGGAGTTGTCATCATATCTAAACGCAGAGAGTTATCGTATCGGAGAAAAAAATGTGATTTGTATATTGCGATTACAAAATTATCATTACAGGAATGTAAGTGGTCATTGTGAACTTATTAGAGTATATTTCTTTCCAGCTATTTTAGTGGTCGGGTTCGGATCAGAGAAGGAGATTTTCAAGACACACGAATACTGGAAAGTAAAGAACTCGTGGGGGTTGAAGTGGGGAGAAGGCGGCTACTTTAAGATACAGCGTGGGGAAGGGATGTGTGGCATCAACACCCAGGTCACCACAGCACAGCTAGCCACCTAACTGGCGTCTAGTGGTGTGGGAATAAGCCACTGAAATCACTGATGACTATTTGGAGGGGAAGCAGCTCCATCTTCAATATGGTGAATAAATACAAGTAACTACTGATCGGCGTCACTGTGTTATTATTAGTCTGTCTCACAGTACCTGAGCCAATCATGTTCCTTCCCGCCCAGCCCTGACTGTAATGCTATCGCCGTAAATAAAGTCTAGATTTTCCACAGGTTCTGTCCCCATCTCAATGGGAATCAATTTAAATATAGTACGTTGCTTGATTCTATCAAAATTATATTTTTCAGAGACTTGTGACAATGTGTATGTGTGTGTCAATGTGTGTCTTTGTGTTCCGATTTCTTTTTCTTCAACAAGTGTAAATGAATGGTGTTTTATGCCGCTTTAAACAATATCCCAGCTGGGGAAGCAAAGAATGGGCTATTACATTCATGCTGGGACTCAAACCCGGGTTTTCGTCGTTGTTGTTGAACGTTTTTAAAACTGAGCTAACCCACCTAAAACAATGCTGATTGGAAGAATATGCGTGTGAACAACAAAGTATTTGAATGCTTTATTTTCAGTATTATAAGTCGAGAGGTAGATAGTTCGATTTCATCAATGCTCAAAGTGTACAAACAACACAGGGACAGACCGAGCAGCCACACAAACAGCCGGCAGTTTACAAAAACAAATATCGCATGACACCGGGTATTAAGTAATGTGTGAGCAATATTGCATCATTGTCACGGCGGGAAAACCTGTAATGTGCTTCCAGTATGAACGTTTTATTCAGGTTGACAACCAAACCCGGACTTGTTGTGTGACGGTGAACGCTTCAACCACTACACAACCATGGGGGTCACCTTTCACAAGTATTACAAAGACGAGTTAGAGAATGCTACTTGGGATGAAAGATACGCACTCTGGTCCACTCGGCTTATTCCGTTACTTTCGTAATATCTTTGACAGCAATGTCGTTTGGATCTTCGTGGATCTTCGTGGATTCAATTCAGTCTTCGCAAGATCCGCATGTAGTTCGTATAAAATGACAGCCATTTTTGAAAATTCTTTGCTTAACCGAAACTAGGTGTTGCTTTGACTTGAAGACAAAATAAATCGGCATCAATTTGTATTGCGATGAAAAGTATCGCGGCTGCTGTTTCGCTTTGTCATGTCATAGAAACGTGCGCGAAACTAGTTTCAATGTGGATTCCTGACATTCCTGATTCATTTGGGCGGAGTCGAGCAGAGATACGTAGATTAACCGGATGCCAAGGTCCTATGCGCAAACACAGTGCGTGCTGGGACAAAAGCGGGGACAGAGCTGTTGGCACCAGGTGTTCATGCCGGGAACACGGGCGAAAGAGTCCGCAGCAACACACTTAGAGGAATCGCCAGACGTCGGAACGGTTCGTGTAGTTGGACGTAAGGTTGTCGTTGTCGTAGTTGTTGTTGTTGTTGTTGATGTCGTGCTGTATGTGGAAGGTTGTGGCGTCGTTGGCGTGGGTGCGTCTGTGGCGTATATGTTGACGTCTGCGCAGTTGACAAACCACTCTTGGGGTCCACATCCAACGCATCCATCTTCCGCTTCCGGGTCACGACCCCAGTCTTTGCCTAATCGAAAACAGGAATTGTAACTTCGAAGTGGCGCAACAACACAGATAGTATATGACTATACAATACTGCTATTAATAGCAAAGTTACACGTTAGCGATTGTGTTGGGAAGGAATTTGTTTGGCGAACGGATTAGGACAAAGTAGAAAGTGCGAGAGAGGGTACGTGTGATCGTGATAATAATTGTTGTCACAACGCAGAGCGCTCATGATTGATACCTTCAAACACACACTTGGACAACACCCATCTCTCATTCACAATTTCTCTCTTCCTGGGATGACAATCTCAATAAGATCAAATCTTTTTTTTCTGGAACGATAACCCTGCGCGTACATATCTGGCATTTGAAGGTAGCGTCAAGTGAACCCTTAACAAACATTGACCGCTCAATCCAGATGGAGGATGCTAAGGTTCTTGAGCCAATCAGATGTCAGCTTTCTAAAACGTTTCGGATTCATTTCTTAACCACCTGGATTCGGAAATTTCAATTTGTTTGTTCGTTCGTTCGTTCGTTTGATATTTAACGCCGCACTATAGCACTATTTCAGCCATATGACGGCGGTCTGCAAATAATCGAGTCTGGACCAGACAATCCAGTGATTGACATGATGAGCTTCGTTCCACGCAATTGGGATACGATAACATGCATCAACCAAGTCAGCGAGCCTGACAACTCGATCCCGTTAGTAGCCTGTAGGGGGTTGCCGAAGACGTATTCTACCCCGGATCTCCACGGGTCGTACAAATAAAAACCCACACAGAACACAAAGGTCTTATTTTTCTATAAACGGAATTTGGTGTTCTTTTTTGCTCAGTCTTACTGATAATTTAGAGGCCTTCGCACTTGCCGACTGTTTAGAACGTTCACCTGACGCGACCTTCTTTGGAGGTGACCTAACATCTTCACCTTTGACTAAACCTATGGTTACGGGACAAATAATGGACACAACACCTCTTCAAGTCGATTGCACGACAACGGGACGTAACTCGGCACCGCGTCTTGATCACGATATATGCATGTATTGTGTATTGACTTTTAAACCGTTTTAACGGTTTTCCTTTTTTTGTCTGATCTGCTTTTTCGTGGAATAAGTTCTTACTTTTCAAAAATGAAATACTATAGTGATTACTTGCGGTTTTAAAAAATATAATCTATATCATGAAATAGATTGGTCAATCATCTCATTTCCATTTCTCACTTTGCTCTTCATACCATACCATACCATACCATACCATACCATTGCCAGGATATTTGTGCAAACAACATACCCTGATACAAGCAGTGTATCAACCCACCTGTGACGTATCTCCATTGAAACAGGCACGTGTTGCACGTGACTCCCGGGGGTAGTGAAACTTGAAGAACGTAATCGCTGTTTCCTGCGCCTGGAAAGAACCTTTCCTTGCCTCCTTCTCCGCTACCGAGCATGCGCACTGGCATCAAGAACCGGTTCAGACAATCCTGTACTCCATAACCGGATGTGCTGGGATCTGGGCAGAGTCTGAACTCGAAGTACCCCTTGTGATAAGTCGTCAGACGGACTGTCGCCGTTATGTCGCTACCGACACGGTAGGAGCGAACAATGATGCCGTTGGCGTACTTACCGCCAACCTCGTTGTCACGTATGATGCTGTCGTAGGCGTCTCCACAAATACCACAGCGACCGCCATTCATCTGGTGCTGTCTCTGGAAGTAGAATGACGGTATCAAGCCTACAACTGAATTGAAGTAGCGTTGGAGAATAATACCATTCACGAAGGTAAGTTTAATTTTGTCATTAATTTAATCTGCTTAATATTTTACATTCAGAAACCGAAACAATAGAACCGCCACCCACATATTGGGCTCGAACTGGTATGCCATTTTAAATCCATACTACATCCTTTAAATACCTGCTACAGCTATTGCTACAGTAACTGTAGACAACTGTTAATACCACTACTGTTGAGGCTGCTCAACTATTGCTCAAATTGTTCTTCTGATACTACTACACTACTACTGCTGCTGCTGCTGCTACTACCACTGCTACTGTTGCTACTACTACTACTACTACTATTGCTGCTGCTAACCACCTCCGAGGTCTAGTGGTAGAGCGTCTGCCCGGAAAGTGGAAGGTCGGGGGTTAGGTTCCCGGCAGTGTCACAACAAAAGACGTTACAAGATGGTGCATTTTGTTGCCCTGCCTGGTGCTCGAAGTTGGGGGAATAAAACAAGGACTGGTCGGACCGGAGTCAGTATACTGATTCTGTGTGGAGTATCCATGGCAAGCACTATAAAACCGGTATTAGTCCGGACTGGTACATGCAGCCACACACACACACACACACACACACACACACACACACACACACACACGTGCATGCACGTCGCTATATAAGTGCAATAATCTCAAATGCGACTTTAAACCCTATTTCTCCTCACCTCAGCAACTACGACCACTACTCCTATTATTACGCTTGCTACTACTGATACTGCTACTGCAGCAACACGTACTACAGCTGCAACTACTGCTTCAACCATACTCAACTGCAAAAGATACGCAAGTCAAGTGTTTTGTGGCTCAAACGAATCAAGGTTCAACCTTTCCCACACCGACGTAATGAGCGTTGTGCTAAGTACTGTGTCTTACAGGCCGACGGGTGGGGAGGAGGCAGCGTCGTGGTGTGGGGAGACTTCAGTTATCATCACAGGGCCACTCTACATGTGTTCCGTCAGCGTGTGACGTCAACCTCAACTCCAGGTCTTTCAGCAGGACAAGGCTCGTCCCTATACAGAATGCTTCAATGTGGACATCCTCAGAGTGAATAACATTCCTGTGATGCCCTGGCCGTCTTTGTCTTTGAGCATGTCTGGGACGATATTTGCAAGGGAGCCACATACACTTCAGGAACTGGAACCCGTTTTGGTGCAAGGAATAGAACGGGATTCCTCAAGCCTTCTTCCAAAGACATGTCAACTTAAAGAGACGGTGCTGTGCGGAACAATCGCAGCTAATGGCAGCCACACACTGTTCTGTTTGTGGGGTACCCTGTTTTCGGGGGAATTTTTCAATAAACACGGATGGTTGTCATCAAACAATCAACGCCCATTTGTTGTCAAATAATTTCTCTGTTATCATTTCTTAATATTATCTACATATCGTTTATGGTCCAAACGTTGTCCGCATTTTATGTACAACTTGCGTTTCTTTTGCGGTTGAGTATATTACTACTTCTTGTACTAATTCTTCTGCTACATGAACAGCTACCGACAACGCCATGGTATGACTGCAATACTGTTCAAAGCGCCATGTGACCAAACTCACTCATTTACTCTACTACCAATACCACTCTGCTTATCACTACAATCACCACCACAACCACTACAACTACTTGTTTCTTACCCAAGTCCGTCACAATGCTTTGTTTGTTTGCTGTTTAACGCCACTCTCAGCAATATTCCAGCTAAATGACGTAGGTCTGTAAATAATCGAGTCTGGACCAGACAATCCAGTGATTTTAATCATGAGCATCGATTCACGCAATTGGAAAACGATGACATGCATCAATCAAGTCAGCGAACCAGACGACCTGATCCCGCCAGCCGTCTCTAACGACAAGCAGAGTTGACTTTTACGGCAAGTATGGGTTGCTGAAGACCTATTCTACCCCCGGATCTTCACGGTTCGTTCCACAAAGCGATCGTAGCGATAAGGTGAACTCTCATACCTTAACATACATATACGACAGGTGCAGCGCTATGGTCACGTTGTGGAACGGGGTTCAGAAACAAATTACAAAAGCCTTTTGGGGCCATCTGCGTTAGTTTTTCTTCTTGAAATTTCAAGATCTTAAGTTGAATTTTTATGATGATATTTTGAAATTTCAAGATACTAAGTTGACATTTCAAGATACTAAGTTGAAATTTCACATACATAAGAGATCATAAAATCATAGATTGAGTTAAAATTTCAAGATAATGCGCTGCCACGGAATATATTTAAATAGTGTTCATGATTTGTTAGTTCATTACTCTGGTGTACGGAAGCCTATGAGTGCCTTTTGGTTTTCAACTAAGTATCTTGAAATTTAAAGATGGTATGATGAAATTTCAAGATACATACTAAGTTGTTTTTGTTTGTTTTTCTTGAAATTTCAAGATAATAAGGTGAAATTCTGAAACGTATTTATCTTCAAATTGAACGTATTTATCAACTTAGTACCTTGCAATTTCAACATGGCATCTTGAAATTTCAAGAATTTTTTTTATAACAAGTGGCCCTAAAAGGCTTCCGTACTGATAACAAGTAGGAGTGGTGACAAACTGTCAGCAATATTTCAACATAGCATAATAGTTTTCCGTAACAAATAGCCGGAGACCCACAGTAATATCGCTTCAATATTACTATTCATGCCCCACCGTTACAATCTACGTCTTCTTTAGTTGGGCGACACTGCACATTACATTTCTATCGTTCAAAGGAAAGGTGTTCACTGAATACCCGTGTGATCTGGTGCATTCGTCAAGGAGGCAGGCGTGATGTCACGTAGCTAGAAAATCACCCTTTCGAGAAGAAGGTCAAATATTTATTAAGAATATTCACCTTGGAATTCTAAGAAGAGGATGAAGATGCGTTATTGCTTCATTCAGACGTCTTGTCCCTATGTACGACCTTCATGTACACCGCCGATGAACTGTGTGCCTGCTTTGTCGGATGCGCTGCGTAGTACCACGACTTGTTTACACAGAGTAGGCCGAAATAATAACCCCCGTCTTATGGATGGGGTTGTATGTATTCTAGGGGTTACACTAATCTCGTGAATGTAACTTGTTTCCGTGTATTCGCAGTTCTGGGCTTTTCAGTAACACGCACTTATGAACACGCATAATATTTATAGATATAAATAGATGTATGCTCTAGTTCGAATAAGCGCCTTGGCACTCCTTACTTGTGTTTTCAAGTCACGGGCACCGACTTGGTATCTCTGTAATGTTAAGGTTTATTATACACTGTCGGGCAAAAGAAAGTATACACAAATGTTGAATGGTGGCTAAACATGAAGCAAACAAGAAATGGTTATTCGATGGTGATGTATTTGATACCGATATCACTGATGGGTTTTGAACCTTAAATTGGCAGTGTTTCGGCGACTGTTTTCAGCTAAGTACAGTTTTCATGACGGTTGTAATTGTTTTGTCAAATCCGCTTTTCAAGGGTATGCTTTCTTTTGCCCGGCAGTTTATAAACTTTTGGCACTCAATGATAACCAGTCTTATACAAAGATCTCAGTTTAAGAATAAAAACATTACACAAGTTAGATCTAGATCCAGACCGGCCCGGGACAGGAGCCCCTGATCGCTGAGCGGAGTTCCCCTTTAAAAGCGCCGTAAATCCCAAATCATTCGCTCTATATTCGTATGCTCTTGAAGTTTATGAGAATCACTGGACATTTTCTTCATTCGTGTCTATGCTACTACATCGTTGCTCATGCAATTATCACGAACGCTTAGCTTTTGAAAAATGAATTTTTGATAGAAACAAACAACTCCATTTAAACTGACAAGGAGCTCACAGATGGGAGATTCAGAACCTAGCGCTCTCCAGACAGATGCTCCATGAGGCCACAGAGGCGGTTTCATGATATGGAACCTGTATATATTTTACTCCTATCAAGTCGTTTAACTTTGTTTAACTATTTCTTATGTTTTATGTTGTATAGCGATCTAAACATTAATGATAATCTGATAGCACACTGTCTCACTTTCACACATGGCAATAATCAGGGCCCTGTCACCGTCGCTGTACGGAATTGCGTCCCTTAGTCGAGTAAAAAAAATTTTTTTCATGGGTTCGAATCCCAGATTATCCCTGATTACGTTTTAAGGTTTGTCAGTACCACATCGTTCGCATTGTTTTCTCCAAAGCAGTAAATTGTTTAAAGCGGCGTTAAACCTAATTCACACTCTCACTCCTGATCGAGACTGGACGGTAGTACACCTATAAATTCAAGAAAAACTACACCCACAACAAATACGGGTCGATTGCAAGAACTCACCTGTTTCCCGCCACAGTTGAGTTCCATATCGTTGTAGTTCACAGGAGTACCGAAACCCACACGCCACATGCTGGAACGCTGAGGGGGCTCAAGGAGGTACCCGTGGGACGCAACTACCCCTACCAGACCCAACAACACGAGAACCCTGGGCAGAACCGCGCTCCGAGCTCCACTCATCGTCGTCATCATTGAACAAGTCTTCTCTCAGTGTTCAAGTCTACTACGGCCTATATTTTATATCACACGAGGATGTTTACATTATCACAAAGTAAATATATGTTATACTTGTGTGTATCCCTATAGAGATGTTGGCGTTTGAAGTGAAAGCATTCTTTTCATCTCGATGCAATGCTGACAGAGGCAATCAGCGTGGTTTACTCGTGCTGATTCAATAAATACACACACGAGATTTTCACTGAGTATTAATGGATTATGATCTTATAGAAATTACAGAAATTAGTTTTCATATAACTAGTGTCCTTTCAAATGAAATATTAATGGAAAAACGTTTGCAAATGTGTATGATAGATGGAGATAGTAATTTCGGTTATAAGATAAGATTGCCTTAAAAAATACGAAAGTTACCTAGCATCTTTTGACTCTTTTATCGACTTTTTTTTATCAGATTCGGCAAATGAAAAAGACGAATATGAGGACAGCTATAACACAATGTGGTGAATGCCCGAAAATTCCATAGCTGACACAATGTGTAAATAGTGGTCGAGGAATGATTGAGTCCTAAACTGATGAAGAGTCAGGTGAGGTCGTGAGGTGAAATTGGGTTCAACGTGGCGTTTAATATTCCTGCTCTTATATAGCGATAAACTGTTAACGGATTTTGGTATGACGCGGCCAGGGATCGAACCACCGATCTTTCGCTCTCCAGGCAGCCTCTTTATCCACTACATCAGGACCAGGAGCTAGGGGTGGAGGGGATGATTAACTGATAGCAGTCCCGTGATTTGGGCGGGGTTGGTTAAACGGATCGTCTGGAAGCTTACAGCGTTAAAAGAAAGTAATAAGGGGTAGACACCATTTGTCAAATCTGGTTTGCCGCAGCTCATATCGGATAAGTGGTTATGTAAAATAACTAGACTTTGTTTAGAAAACAACTTGTCCATCTGGATTATCACGAGTATCGGGCTAACAGATAAGTGGCCGTGTCTGTCACTGATATCGAAGGAGTAACGGTAACTCGACTACAGATGGGCTAAACCGGTAAACAAGGAAAAGTAGATAATAGCAATTTCCGGTCAGAGGGGGTCTGAGTTCGAATCTGGTCTGGAGTGTCAAGCTGATGTTGCCTTCGAGATGCGAGGACTATTTGGCGCCTCCCACATGAACAGGGTTTCTAGGCCTGTAGTGGCTCACTGCGATGAGCGAGTTGTATATAATGAGACTGTCCAACACATTGTCAGTGGATGCCCAGCTTTGGCACAAACACAGCAACTTAAACGACATGATGGTGTAGCTTGATCATTTTATAACCGTCTTCGCCATGCTTGTGGTTTTGTCACAGAGGTCCACCCATGGTACGACCCGGAATATGTGGAGGGCTTCATGGAAAATGGTAAATACAAAATTCTTTTGAATAGGCCCATTTACAGCCTTAGACGTATCCAGGCCAACAAACCTGATCTTGTCCTTTTTGATAAATCCAATGAAATCATTTATATCATTGAATTTTCTGTCCCGTTTGACACTTATGTGATTGACAAGATTGAGGAAAAACATGGCAAATATGCGGACCTCGCTTTCGAAATGTCACGCTTGCATCCCAAGTACCAAGTTGTCCGACTCCCCATTGTTCTCGGTGCCTTAAGTTTGCTATCTCCCAATCTGTTGACTGACATTGGGAGAGTACCCGGGTTTGCTGCAAGGAATGCAGCCCCTCTGTCAATCTGGGTAATGCAGAAGGCTGCTGTGTTGGGGAGTCTTTACATTCTCAGAAAAGTTCTAGGTGGGTTTGACTAGGCAGCACTTCCTTGGAGAAGTCCCATTCGCTGTCTGGGCTGCGTGAGGATCACCCAAACCCTCTTTGCTGCATTTTTTAAATTTTAATCTGTAAATAATAATAATAATATAAACCTTTCATGAGTGACCACATAAGCGCAAAATTACAGAACATTGTGATTTGCCAAAAATAGTATTTCAACTGAGGAACAGAAATGTGGTCCACTTTGCATATATAAACAAATATTAGTATACTAAATGGTATATAATGTTACCGAGGCGGTGAGATAGCCTTGTGGTAAAAGCGTTCGCTCGTCAAACCGCGAAGACCCGGGTTCTATTCCCCATATTGGTACAATGTTCGGAGCCCATTTCTGGTGTCCCCGCTGTTATATTGCGGGAATATTGTTAATGGCGGCGTAAAACCATATTCATTCACTCATGATGCTACTTATTTAATAGCGTACAATATCGTGCGAATGTTGAAAACACACAATCACATTCTGATCCCTGTCACGTCAACCTCATCTCAGGCACACAACTCAGGCGTCTGCAGGAGGTGGTGTCCTCAATACTCCAGCTCGTGCCTTTGAATATTGTTTGCCTCGTGAGGGCACATATAAATATGCCGTATATAAAGACAATCTTAATGTTGGGATCGTCAGTCTTCAGAGATGGGAAACAAAACGTCAGCTGGTGTGGACATACCGTCCCAGGGGGTAATCGTGGATAATGACAATTTATAACTTTTATACCCTCTTGTATAATTAATATTTATTCTTTTTTATCCATTTATATCCATTTATATCCATTTATACCATGTATCCATTTTGAACTTATATATGTGCTAATAACTTCAATATCCATTAAAAACTTTAAAATCCGTTAATACCTTTAATATCAGTTATAATTGTTTACTTCTATACCATTTATATCCGTTTATACCATTATTATTCATACAAACCTGTTTTAGACGTTTTTACCTTCCAAATCCATTTATACCTTCAAGGGGGCACGGATGTCCCAGTCGCGATTTGCTGTGCAGAGTTGAATCCCTTGGGCATGCCAGAAACTTATGATTGTGGGTTCGAATCCCGGTTCGCCCCAATTAGGTTTCTAGGTTTGTCAGCCCCATACCCGTGCTCGTGGGTTTCACCGAACTGGTAAACGTCTGAGACCTGCATCACTTCGGGCAGTCCTCCCACATTAAGCTGACACGCCGCGATATAACTGGAAAACTGTTAAAAGCGGCGTTGAACCCAACTCACTCACTCACTCACTCATAAAACCTTTAATATCCATTAAAAGAATACATTTTATATCCATTGTGATACGCTGATAGGTCTCGATAGGTCTTTTATATTTGTAATGTCCTTGATACTCCTTATAATGTTTTCAAAGTGTCGTGTCTAAATTCCATTAATATGTTTTGAAATAATCTATAAAGTAATATATCGATATACATAAACCGCAACCGTTTATCTTTCTCATCCGCCTATCATCCTCTAAGATGGTCCCTGGGACCTTCAGGACCACACAATCAGGTCACGTGAACTATTCGTTCTCGCCACCCACAAACGGACCCCTGGAAGGACCTCCACAGACGGATGACGTCACAAATGGCAGCAGGAATCACAATCTGAGGGTCAGGGACACGCCCCTTCAACAGACAAAGGTAATCATAAAAATAAGAATACATTCAAGCACAGTAAGCTACGTTTATAACGAACATGCTTATAACGAACTGACGGATATAACGAACTGGTTTTATGGCCCCAGTCGTGTGCTGTATATCTTATTATATAAAATGTGTGGATATAACGAACACGCTTATAAAGAGATAACGGTTATAGCGAAGTCACTTTGTGGTCCCGTGTGTACTTTGTCAACGACAATATTTATAACGAACTGTTCATCTCTGCTGCTGCTGCTGCTGCTGCTGTTCATGTGTCAGCCAATTAAAACATCTGCGGACACGCGCGGCTGTTCAAAGTGGCAGCTAACACATTGAAGGCAAGCGATTAACCGGATTCCTCAAATTACTACCTCAAATAACAATAGTAAAACAGTGGCCGAATCCGCGAAACCAAGGTGTTTTAAAGCCGAACGGATCAATAAATTACAAAGGGAGGCAACTCGAGTTGTCACTGGTCAGAAGCATGGCGTAATTTGAGTTTGGTTGGTTGGTTTGTTGGTTTGTTGTTTAACGCCGCACTCATCAGTATTCCAGCTGTATGACGGCGGTCTGTAAATAATCGAGTCTGGACCAGACAGTCCAGTACTTGACATCATGAGCATCGATCCACGCTATTAGGATCGATGACATGCGTCAACCAAGTCAGCGAGTCTGACCACCCGACCCGGTTGGTCGCCTTTTACGACAAGCATGGGCTGCTGAAGACCTATTCTACCCCGGAATTTTCACGGGTCCGTAAACTGAGGGCAAATCTTTTTTCTTTTCTTTTTCTTTTCTTTTTTTTCCGAAACAAAAATGTTAAACGTCCATTGAATTCCGCCACAATAAACGGAAACTTAAACTTTGAATTAATACTGATAAAGCATATCACCGTGGTTCACTAAGCAAAGTTCGAATCCCGCTTCACCCTGATTATGTTTCTAGGTTTGCCTGTACCATACCCGTGGCTGTGGGTAATTACAGTGGTAAACGTCACAGATCTGCATTACTTCGGGCTTTCCTTCTTCATCAAGAAGACACACCATGACACAACTGAAATACTGATCAAAGCTACCTTAACCCAAATGAATCACTCACTCGTATTGTTCGTTACAATTCAGTGAGTAAGAAAGTTGGCTTTAGAGCAATCAAACAACGACAACACCCTTGATCTTTCTGTCAATATTGACAGTGCAGACACCTTGAACTAGTGACCTCGTCATTTACCGGTGGTCACGATCACAGACAGCTGTCCTGCGCATACCGTCCCCGTGTGGTGTGGTGTGGTGTGGTGTGGTGTGGTGAAATGCGTTAACGTCGCTTTAAAATATATCACTTTTGTAGCGGCGAGATTCAGGGGCTGCTTGTTATAGTTTGGACCGGTTTTATAATGCTATCCCAATAAGTTATCATGCCGCAGTTTAACATGAATACATGCATACTCAGACAAATTTTAGTATACTGACTCCGAGCCGGCCAGTCGTGCGTCTGTCAAGGAAACAACACATTTCTTACCTTGTATATGGTAGCCGAGAGCAGATATCGCTTTCTTGTCTTCAATTACTTGTATCTCGTTTCATATCTGGTTACTAAATAGGCAATTTTTCACCATGTACCGCCTGATAGGCAATTTAAATATTTCATATACGCCTTTGGTAAATTACAAGTTTCTTACCAAAACAAATTCATTATTATCTCGAAACTGAACACAAATTCGGTTCTGCGAACTTAACACAGGGCCTTGATAATAATTGTACTGTTCATGTCAACAGCGACTTTCGGATATAACGTTTTTCCAGTTCAATCCTTTCTTTTTCAGCTGTTGTAATTCTTTGCATCCGAATCTGATTGGTTATCACAACAGTCAGTGTAAATTATGCATAGGAACGTACATCCTCCCGAGGCAAGGAAGTTAACTGATTGTAAAAGTTCAGTTTCCACCCTTGTCGAGCTAAGATGGGATTTCTGGGCTCGATCGTAGCGCCACCAGTGGCTATTACGAGTTATGTCCCTTCTATGTCCCTCCTACTGACCAATCAGGTCTCACCTCGCATATCACTTGCATTTGCTTCAAACAAAATGCGCCCAGTCAAGACGATCTGATCGATAATAAAGATCTTGATTGCAATAAAACGGCTTTACCTCGCGACGTGCTTCAAATCACTTAAGCACCTTGATTAAAAACACGAAAAGATTTGGGAAATATCTGTTGACGCCCAGTTGACGGTACACATACTCTGCAAATCCCGCAATCGAACGAATTAGGCATAACAGTTGCCATGTTGTTTATGAACCGGATGTCGATATCGTAATGGGATTTTGATTGGATTATGCACAGACTCGTTAGTCCAGTTAAAATACAACTCCATAATTCCAGCCTAGTTCGGCAAGGGTGGAAACTGAACTTTTAAAGTCAGTTTACTCGCTTGCTTCGGGAAGACGATGAACCTATAGACAATAACTAATGAACACAGCTCTTACTACGAGTAGCTTGAAAATGATCGACAGAAACAAGTGGAAAAGGACAATTTCCAGGAGAGAAAATATGACCCAAGTTCGAGTGTGAAATATTGCTAAGGACAAATTAACAATGTTGAAACAAGCAATAGCAATATGTAAATTAGATTAAGCAATGAAAAAAATACTTTGAAATGTATTTGAATAAACAAGACATTAATCAATATATGCAAATTTATTTGTGTTCACATAAAGAGAAAAATATGACAAATTGTTATCATTGCAAAAATGTATCTGAGAATCCTGCTGTATGTGCATTGTGAGGCGACTGCTGTGTCACCTTGTGTTTTTCACAAGTTGAAAGATGTCAAAATGTTTGAGAGACCCTTCAGGGAAAACTGTTTGCCTAAAACAGAACTACAGATACATTTTAGCCTTTCCATTGCTTTGAAAGAACTTTGCAAGTTGGACAACTACTATATACATACTATTGTGAAAAAAAAACGAGAAAATAATTAGGATCTAAGACTGTGAAGGCTGGTCAATGTATAGAAATGATAATTCTCTCTACAGAGAAAATGAAATAAAACATAATTCCTATGATATCATATCTGTGAAACTTCGTGCTTGTTACCCTGTGGCTAAAATTAGAAGAATTGACGTCACTCTGCATGTATGTTCATGCTGCCTGCCCACTGCAGGATTATCTCGTGCAAATCACCCGGTTGTTTTTTTCATTTCACTTGTCGGTCAGGAAAATCTGCATCAAGTCGATGCTTTAGTGTCCGTCGTAAGATATCGATATGTGTATGAATTATGTACCCTGTGATTATGTGTAATATCGATCGTAATCGTAGCTCGTGTGTGTGTTTGTGTTCGCGTTTGTAAGAAGGCGGTTGTCCAACAAGGGCTGTATTTCTCTGTCCATACTTTCAGTTTCAAAGTGATCCATGGCTGACAAGTTGCGAGTAAGAGTGAGTGTGGACACTGTCGCACTATGTGACATGTATGTGTGGTATGTTGTATGTGTGTGCACTGCCCAATTGTGGGCCGCATTGTCCGGACTGATTTTGAATTTATTGCTGACATATGTTTGGTTCGTGTTTCCATGACATCATGTCTGTGAAACTTCGTGCTTGTCACCCTGTGGCTAAAATTAGAAGTAGTGACGTCACTCTGCATTCATGTTCATGCTGCTGCCCACTGCAGGATTATCTCGTGCAAATCACCCGGGTGTTTTTTTCATTTCACTTGTGGGTCAGGAAAACCTGCATCAAGTATCATGCACCTGTTGTCAGTTTCTGCACGCTGTGGAGGCAAAATGAATTTAGGAGTGGACAGGCTTCAACCAAGGTCAGTAATAAATTTGATAGAAAATAACCTATATGGCGGCAGCAGATTGATTTGTGTGTGTGATGACAAGTTTTGCAGAGGCGGATCCGGGAATTTGAAAAGGAAGGGGGGGGGGGGGGGGGGGGGGGTGTATGGGTGTCACCAACACACAACCGAGGGCACAGTTAACGTGAATGGTGTCTGAAAATGGAGGGGTACACCCCTCCCCGCAATTCCCCATCTTTGTCAGTGTCTTGTAGTGGAGAGTGGGGAACAGATTTAATGACTTCACGCGTGTTAAGTACAAAAGGCCAATCAGTCGTTGACTTTTTTCTCGTCTCACATGAACTATTGGGTGTGCTTACTGACTTTGGTGTCCGTCGTAAGATATCGATAGGGGTATGAATTATGTACCCTGTGTGTGAGCCTGTGTATAACGAGCTGTCACGGTACATCACACCATATGCCCCTAGGGATCGGTTGACAACGAATTTATCTCAACGGCATTCACTCGGAATATCAAAATGTCACCGAGTAAACAGTTTCACCGAGTAAAGCGCTTTGATTCAGCCATGCTGACAGCTAGGTACTTCCCTTTAGCCAAAGCATTCGGATAAAAATCGGTTCCTAACCTTAGGTAAATTGCTGATGTCTCCTACGTATCGTTGACTCAACGATACTTATGCGAGATCAGCAGGTTACCTAAGGTGTGTTACGACTGATTTCTCAGCGGGAACCATGAGCAGGCTACATGGAAATCGGAAGCTAGTATTGTAATGTAAGGGGAGGTAATACTTTATATCGGGATCACTCATAACCATAAGAGTGAGTGAGTGAGTTGGGTTTAACGCCGCTTTTAACAGTATGCCAGTTATATCGCGGCGTGTCAGCTTAATGTGGGAGGAAAGCCCGAAGAGATGCAGGTCTCAGACGTTTACCACTTCGGTGAAACCCACGAGCACGGGTATAGTGCTGACAAACCTAGAAACATAATCGGGGCGAACCGGGATTCGAACCCACAATCATAGGTTTCTGGCGTGCCCAAAGGACGCAACTCTGCACAGCGAATCGCGGCGCCTTAGACGACTGGTCCACCCGTGCCCCCCATAACCATAAGAAATAAACACATAACCGGTATAACCTGCAAGGTATGATAAACCAGTATGGCCAGATTTTAAATAAATGGAATGAGCTAGCCCAAGGAGAACCACGGTTTGTACACACGAGAGCTGTATTTTATGATTATACAAGACAGATATAAATTACAATGTCCCTCTGACCTAGAAACTGAGAGACTAGCCAGGTTTGTGCTAAATTACAAGTGTTTGAGTAGAGGCGGGGACACTGACGATGTACAGCAGCAGCCGCCACATGGACATCACCGACACACAGTCTGATCAGGTACAGCGTGATCTATGTTATTGACTGCGTGTGTGCTTACTTGCGTGTGTGTAGATACAATACGATACAATCCTTTTCCGTTGTTTGACAAGGGCATGGGTTACACTGACGTCATGTATTCGCAACATATTTAATATTATCCAGTTATTCGTTACCGTAACTATGCTAGGTCCATGAGTTGCAAGTCGAGTTGCTTTTGTAATTTAAGCACTACTGATCTTTACATATTCTGCATGACAGTATAACGAGATAAGGCAAAATAACAGTTTCCCTTACACGGGCGTCTCTATTTTTAGGAAAAATACATACCTATATTTATCACAAATGACAGTATGTCAAATTCAGATAGACATAATCTTTTCGTGTTCTAATAACCTTTCGGTGAACTTTATGTGTCGGGTCTTTTGGTGTTATCTTTTTTAATTATTAGTGTTCAGCTGTCTTCATTTTCCCACTCGCATGACACACACCACAAACTGACCTTGAACTATTCCGAATTTCCCGAGCTATCCTGGGATTGAAAATGTCTCACATGAGACGTCCAAGCTCTGCGCGCGTCACACTGAACTGCAGACATGGAGTTGACAGACCTAGGTGACATTGCCGTAAGTGACAACAATGTTTGATAAGAGCATCACAGATAACAACCGTGGTAGGCCGTAATCGTAGCTCGTGTGTGTGTTTGTGTTCGCGTTTGTAAGAAGGCGGTTGTCCAACAAGGGCTGTATTTCTCTGTCCATACTTTCAGTTTCAAAGTGATCCATGGCTGACAAGTTGCGAGTAAGAGTGAGTGTGGACACTGTCGCGCTTTGTGACATGTATGTGTGGTATGTTGTATGTGTGTGCACTGCACAGTTGTGGACCGCATTGTCCGGACTGATTTTGAATTTATTGCTGACATATTTTTGGTTCGTGTTTCCATGCTAAGTGTTTACATATTCATTTAGGACACGCCATCCCGGCTGATATTTTCTACCGTCGGATTAGCTGCGGTTTCCACCTGCGGTTCTTTATTTAACCAGGTTTCTAATTTGTCACAACTAGGGCTACGGATCGGCCAGTTAGAGATGTGTGCCAATGTGTGCGGCGATTTACAGCTCCGATTGGCTAAAAATCATAAAGGATTTTGAAATCCGGTATAACAATCTCTTTCTTAATCATTCACCTCAAAACACGTATACGAGATCGCAATAAGGCGAAGTTTGAAAAAGAATGATTAGATCGAAAACAAAACGTGAAGCTGTTTCGTCTCGGGTTTTTTTCAAAACCAGTACCAACTTTTGTTTTTGACATAAAATCTTTATTTAAAGTAATGCCTTGGATTAACTGAAGCCTGGGCGCAATAAAGTTCGATTCAGTCTCTTTGAGTATTCTCTAACATACTGGGAACACGCGTTATTATGTTTGAACTGTTGTTAAAAGCGAGAGTGGGGAGGCTCTGCTCTACATCCTGAAGCCCATGTTCGGTGTCTAGACATTGTAATAAGTGTCATGTAATAAACTCCGTCGCAGTGGTGACTCAGCATAACACCACTGCCACAGGCTAATTTGCATATCACGTGACCGGACTTTTCTCTTGTTTGTAAACAAACGCGCTTTTTCAGAAATCAGTATAGAACAGACTAATGCAAGTATTTGGGGGCGCTTCACATATTGTTTTGCATAACTATATAGATATGCTACTACAACTGCGACAGTGAGTTGCATGACAATATATATTTATGCATCAAAGTGACCGTGTCGCTAGCTCTCCGTTGGGCTTCGATGACAGCACGTGGAGCCGTACAACCAATGTAAACATAGGATAACTACGCAAAAACAAGTAGATTTTTACGTATTTGCATACTTTCTCAATGAAAGTTAACCATTCTTTGACATTTGTTTATGAAAATGTGTAGACTTGTCAAACATGAAACGGATGAAAAGCATATGCAATATCTTGAATGGACTGTGAAAGATGTGACGAATCGTCACATGGCGCTGGCCTGTGGCAGAGGTACTATGCTAGCTGGCTGCCGGCCGCATGGAACTCTGGGTAGGAGAGTGCTGTTGGCCCAGTTGTCTCAGGTGCCGCAAGTCGTTGTGCAGAGTTGCGTCCCTTGGGTACGCCAGAAACCTATTATTGTGTGATCGAATACCGGTTCACCCTGGTTATGTTTCTAGGTTTGTCAGCACCATATCCGTGCTCGTGTGTTTCACCAAAGTGGTAAACGTGCGAGACATGCATCACTTGGGGCTTACCTCCCACATTAAGCTGACATGCCGTTACAGAACTGGTATTCTGTTAAAAGCGGCGTTAATCCCAACTCACTCACTCACTCTGTGTCGTTAGGATAATCATGAACTGTTACACTGATATATACTACTCAAAGAATGGCACGACAGACTAACTACAGTAATATGAAAGACAAAGGCTTTCTTTAACTACTTTTGAGAAGTATACATAGGCACTCAAAGTATTGTTTGAACGACTTGAATCACCTTTGCTTGGCCGGGTTCGAACAGGTCTTCAGCATCCCATGCTTGTCGAAAGAGGCGACTACCGGGATCGGGTGGTCAGGCTCGTTGAATTGGTTGATACATGGCGTATACCATTTGCGTAGATCGATGCTCATGATGTCAATCACTAGAGTGTCTTATCCAGACTCGATTATTTACAGACCGCCGTCATATGGCTGGAATATTGCTGTGTGCGGCGTTAAACGACGAGCAAACAAAGAAACAACACCTTTGCAAGGCCTGCCGATTTATATGAACCTGGGTCCCCTTTTAGCTTCTAACTTATTCATATACGCACGCCTGTTTGTTGTTTTCACAGGAAACGGAACTAGTTGAAGAGTGCTTCCTTCTGGGAAGGATTGAGGGAAGGGAAATTGACAGTCTAGGCGTTGCCCTCCGTGTTACTGAGGTAGCGCCCTCTAACAGCGGTATTTACGACGGTAAGCGATATGACCTTACAAGGGATAGAAATCGGCTATCAGCGACAGAACCAAATGCGTGTAAATTAATTAGAAAACATGAACGTATATAGTATCAGACTTCATGAAAGCGCGATGTGAGTTAGGCCTAAGACGTCGACCACTGTGATAAACTCAATCAGAAACGATACGGTTTTGAGAGGCCACTCTCGAGGGTTCTCATGATATCAATCACTGGATTGTCTGGTCCAGACACGATTATGTACAGACCGCCGTCATATAGCTGGAACATTGCTGAGTGCGGCGTTAAACAACACGCCACCACCACCAACAACAACCGCAGGGTTCCGTTTCGCAGATGATGCGCTGGGATCATAAACGACGATCGGGTCCTTGCAGCTTGGGGACGCAACTCTGCATAGCGAAATGCAGTGCCTCAGACTATCGGTCATGATGAGCACCCTGGCATTAAATGTGTGTGTGTTTGTGTGTTGATTAACGCCACTCTCAGCAATATTCCAGGTATATGACGGTGGTCTTGGTCAGACAATCTGGTGATTGACATCATGAGTATCGATCTTCACATTCAACTAAATGGCGAAGTATGACCACTCAATCCCCAATGTAGTCAGTTCTTACGACAAACATGAGCTACTAAACTGATTATAGGATATTTCTGAAACACCTGTTGACGAGAAACCCTTTTTCATATTACTGGTACAAAACGTGAGTGAGATCTAATTCCAGATCAGTGATTGGCTGCTACAGGATGATGACCTGAGGTCAGATTATGACGGAGTACTTTCCTGGTTGTTATTCATTGATATGTTTCTTGTGCTTCATCTGAATTCACCTTTATCTGTGTCGAAACTTTATGGTTTTAGAGCTTTTAATATTTATTTTGATCTTATCTTGTTTGCATTAATATCATCGCCATTATAATCCACAGATAAAGCGTGTGTTTGTTGAGGGTCGCACTGGGTTTGAGTAGCAGTAAGCCGGATGACGTCACACTGTATTATACGCTTCTCCGATCATGAGAATAGACAAAATATGATCCTAAAATGGTGCTTTAATACCAATTATCTTACAACGAGTTGTTTCAAACCTTCGCTCGTTAGATACGGTTTGAAACAACTCGTTCCATGGATCTTTACACAGGACCGTGCTCGTTCTAAGATATACCCCAGATTAAGATCATAGTGAGTGAGTGGACCAGCTGAAACAGTTGCGTCCCTTGGGCACGCCAGAAACCTATGATTATGGGTTCGAATCCCGGTTCGCCCCAAGTATGTTTCTAGGTTTGTCAGCACCATACCCGTGCTCGTGGGTTTCACCGAAGTGGTAAACGTCTGAGACCTGCATCACTTCGGGCTTTCCTCCCACATTAAGCTGACACGCCGTGATATAACTGGAATACTGTTAAAAGCGACGTTAAACCAAACTCACTCACTCACTCACTCACTCACTGTGTTAATCTGACTGACAATGAAACCGCATTTCCTAAGCAGGCGTCTTCTATTCATGTCATCAAATTAATTAATCATTCATGTGAAATGTTGTTAAACTACCGACTTAATTTCAGGACACAGTTCAGCAAGTTTGGGTAAGAATTCCAACGAACCATATATACTCTTAATAACTGGTATTGATACCACATTAAACGCAGATATATCAGTCTATATGGAGACTACTTAATACTAACATTGGTAGTTTTACACCTGTATTGTGTGAAATACTAACATTAACAGCGCGAGTTATGCCCGTTTTCTGTAAAATACTAACAGTGGTAACGTGTTACAAGAACTATGTATATCACTTTATTCAGGTGAGTTACATACATATCAAATGTAAAATACTAACAGTGGTAGCGTAAATTATTGACCTGTATTATGTTGTAAAATACTAGCATTGGTTGCGTAAGTTACACATCTGTATTCTGTAAAATACTAACATATAATATAATATAAATAATAGCGCGAGTCATATCCTTGTATATTGTAAAATACTAACATTGGCAGCGTGAGTAATATCCATATCAACTGTAAAATACTAACATTGGTTGCGTGAATTATACACCAGGCCCTGTATTCTGTAAAATACTAACATTAACAGCGTGAGTTATGTACATGTATATTGTGAAATACTAACATTCGTAGAGTGTAGCAAGAACTATGTCACTTAATACAGGTAAGTAATATAAACTGTATTCTGTAAAATACTAAGGGTGTTGTAAGCGATACACATGTATGAGTTATACGCAAATATACTGAGAAATACTATTATTGTAAGACTAATTATTGTAAGAAATAATTATCTTATTTTAAAATATATATCTACAAATAAAATCCAAATGGCGCTCAGAATAATGCTTAGTCAATCTTAACTTGCCAAATCATTCTTGTCTTGAGTTGGACTCCTTTTTTAATTGAATCTCTTGGATCTGGGAGTCAGACGATAACATAAGTAGCGTGTTTCAAGAGATATATGTGGCGCTTGATATTGGTGAGTCATACACCTGTCAGCTGTAATATATTAACATTGGTGGCGTGTTGCAAGAACAATAGTCTGCATATTGTATTCAGCGGCATTGTTATAATGTGTCGATTACTGTAGCTACATAATTGCTTTCTGTCAACTATAAAACTCAGAATGCCACACAAATGTTGCATTGTTTGAGACATTGCATTTGTTCAACAATTGTATTTTAACGAGTGAGTGAGTCAGTGAGTGAGTAAGCAAGCTTCTCCATCGCATTTACCAATATCACGGTAGGTACAACCAAAATTTTGGTAATGTTGATCTGGGTGATTTCATTGAAAAAGGATTTGTCCGAATTATCGGGGTTTACCCATGTGGCAGGTTCGTCCTCATCATGAACGTTATGTCTTTCGGCACCATGCATGTGCGTCATGGGTTTCGTTACTCCGTTGTGTTTGAGACTAACCAAAATGTGTTCCAGATTCCAAATTAAATAAGGAAAATATAAAATGATTTTTCCTCGGCTTCAACGAAAAAACGCATACAAGGGTCGCGTTGTGAACAAACCTGGGTAGTGTTGTGAACATTCGCGGTGGTGTTGTGAACATATTTGGGTTTGGTTGGGAACGTTCTTGGGTAGTTTCGTGAACCCACTGGGGTAGTGTTGTGTACCCACTGGGGTAGTATTGTGAACCCACTGGGGTAGTGTTGTGAACATACCAGGGTAGTGTTGTGAACATACCAGGGTAGTGTTGTGAACATATTTGGGTTTGGTTGGGAACGTTCTTGGGTAGTTTGGTGAACCCACTGGGGTAGTGTTGTGTACCCACTGGGGTAGTATTGTGAACCCACTGGGGTAGTGTTGTGAACCCACTGGGGTAGTGTTGTGAACATACCAGGGTAGTGTTGTGAACATATTTGGGTTTGGTTGGGAACGTTCTTGGGTAGTTTCGTGAACCCACTGTCTTTCGTTATGTCTTTCGGCACCATGCATGTGCGTCATGGGTTTCGTTACTCTGTTGTGTTTGTGACTAACCAAAATGTGTTCCAGATTCCAAATTAAATAAGGAAAATATAAAATGATTTTTCCTCGGCTTCAACGAAAAAACGCACCCATACAAGGGTCGCGTTGTGAAAAAACCTGGGTAGTGTTGTGAACATTCGCGGTGGTGTTGTGAACATATTTGGGTTTGGTTGGGAACGTTCTTGGGTAGTTTCGTGAACCCACTGGGGTAGTGTTGTGTACCCACTGGGGTAGTATTGTGAACCCACTGGGGTAGTGTTGTGAACCCACTGGGGTAGTGTTGTGAACCCACTGGGGTAGTATTGTGAACCCACTGGGGTAGTGTTGTGAACATACCAGGGTAGTGTTGTGAACATATTTGGGTTTGGTTGGGAACGTTCTTGGGTAGTTTCGTGAACCCACTGGGGTAGTGTTGTGTACCCACTGGGATAGTATTGTGAACCCACTGGGGTAGTGTTGTGAACCCATTTGGGTTGTGTGGTGAACCCACTGGGGTAGTGTTGTGTACCCACTGGGGTAGTGTTGTGAACCCACTGGGGTAGTGTGGTGAACCCACTGGGGTAGTGTTGTGAACCCACTGGGGTAGTGTGGTGAACCCACTGGGGTAGTGTTGTGAACTCACTGGGGTAGTGTTGTGAACCCACTGGGGTAGTGTTGTGAACCCACTGGGGTAGTGTTGTGAACCCACTGGGGTAGTGTTGTGAACCCACTGGGGTAGTGTGGTGAACCCACTGGGGTAGTGTTGTGAACCCACTGGTGTAGTATTGTGAACCCACTGGGGTAGTGTTGTGAACCCACTGGGGTTGTGTGGTGAACCCACTGGGGTAGTGTTGTGAACCCACTGGGGTAGTGTTGTCTACCCACTGGGGTAGTGTTGTGAACCCACTGGGGTAGTGTTGTGTACCCACTGGGGTAGTATTGTGAACCCACTGGGGTAGTATTGTGAACCCACTGGGGTTGTGTGGTGAACCCACTGGGGTACCCACAGGGTAGTGTTGTGAACATACTAGAGTGGTGTTGTGAACATACTAGGGTGGTGTTGTGAACATACCAGGGTAGTGTTGTGAACATACCAGGGTAGTGTTGTGAACATACCAGGGTAGTGTTGTGTACATACCAGGGTAGTGTTGTGAAAATACCAGGGTGGTGTTGTGAACATACTATGGTGGTGTTGTGAAGATACTAGGGTAGTGTTGTGAACATACCAGGGCGGTGTTGTGAACATACTAGGGTAGTGTTGTGAACATACTAGGGTGGTGGTGTGAACATACTAGGGTAGTGTTGTGAACATACTAGGGTAGTGTTGTGAACATACCAGGGAAGTGTTGTGAAAATACTAGGGTGGTGTTGTGAACATACTATGGTGGAGTTGTGAACATACTAGGGTAGTGTTGTGAACATACCAGGGCGGTGTTGTGAACATACTAGGGTAGTGTTGTGAACATACTAGGGTGGTGGTGTGAACATACTAGGGTAGTGTTGTGAACATACCAGGGTAGTGTTGTGAACATAACAGGGTAGTGTTGTGAACATACCAGGGTAGTGTTGTGAACATACTAGAGTGGTGTTGTGAACATACTAGGGTGGTGTTGTGAACATACGAGGGTAGTGTTGTGAACATATCAGGGTGGTGTTGTAAACATACAAGGGTAGTGTTGTGAACATACTAGAGTGGTGTTGTGAACATACTAGGGTGGTGTTGTGAACATACCAGTGTTGTGTTGTGAACATACTAGGGTGTTGTTGTGAACATTCTAGGGTGGTGTTGTGAACATACTAGGGTGGTGTTGTGAACATACTAGGGTAGTGTTGTGAACATATCAGGGTGGTGTTGTAAACATACAATGGTGGTGTTGTGAACATACTAGTGTGGTGTTGTGAACATACTAGGGTGGTGTTGTGAACATTCTAGGGTGGTGTTGTGAACATACTAGGGTAGTGTTGTGAACATATAAGGGTGGTGTTGTGAACATACAAGGGTAGTATTGTGAACATACTAAGGTGGTGGTGTGAACATACAAGGGTGGTGTTGTGAACATACCAGTGTTGTGAACATACCAGGGTAGTGTTGTGAACATATAAGGGTGGTGTTGTGAACATACAAGGGTAGTGTTGTGAACATACTAGAGTGGTGTTGTGAACATACTAGGGTGGTGTTGTGAACATACCAGTGTTGTGTTGTGAACATACCAGGGTAGTGTTGTGAACATACTAGGGTAGTGTTATGAACATATAAGGGTGGTGTTGTGAACATACAAGGGTAGTGTTGTGAACATACTAGGGTAGTGTTGTGAACATATAAGGGTGGTGTTGTGAACATATAAGGGTGGTGTTGTGAACATACAAGGGTAGTGTTGTGAACATACCAGGGCGGTGTTGTGAACATACTAGGGTAGTGTTGTGAACATACTAGGGTGGTGGTGTGAACATACTAGGGTAGTGTTGTGAACATACTAGGGTGGTGTTGTGAACATACCAGGGAAGTGTTGTGAAAATACTAGGGTGGTGTTGTGAACATACTATGGTGGTGTTGTGAAGATACTAGGGTAGTGTTGTGAACATACCAGGGCGGTGTTGTGAACATACTAGGGTAGTGTTGTGAACATACTAGGGTGGTGGTGTGAACATACTAGGGTAGTGTTGTGAACATACCAGGGTAGTGTTGTGAACATAACAGGGTAGTGTTGTGAACATACCAGGGTAGTGTTGTGAACATACTAGAGTGGTGTTGTGAACATACTAGGGTGGTGTTGTGAACATACGAGGGTAGTGTTGTGAACATATCAGGGTGGTGTTGTAAACATACAAGGGTAGTGTTGTGAACATACTAGAGTGGTGTTGTGAACATACTAGGGTGGTGTTGTGAACATACCAGTGTTGTGTTGTGAACATACTAGGGTGTTGTTGTGAACATTCTAGGGTGGTGTTGTGAACATACTAGGGTGGTGTTGTGAACATACTAGGGTAGTGTTGTGAACATATCAGGGTGGTGTTGTAAACATACAATGGTGGTGTTGTGAACATACTAGTGTGGTGTTGTGAACATACTAGGGTGGTGTTGTGAACATTCTAGGGTGGTGTTGTGAACATACTAGGGTAGT